AGAGCGAGAGCGAGAGCGAGAGCGAGAGCGAGAGCGAGAGCGAGAGCGAGAAGGAGGGGCAGGAGGGGGAGGGAGGGGGAGGGAGGGGGAGGGAGGGGGAGGAGGAGGAGGGAGGAGGAGGGAGGAGGGGGGAGGAGGAGGGAGGAGAGGGAGGAGGGAGGAGGAGGGAAGAGGGAGAGAAGAGAGAAGAGGGAGGAGAAGGGAGGAAGGAGGAGGGAGGAGGGAGGAGGGAGGAGGGAGGAGGGAGGAGGGAGGAGGGAGGAGGGAGAGAGTGAGAGAGGTCAGGACCAATGCTCGAACCCAACACCCGGGTTTGAGGTACCCTAAACCCTAAACCGTCTAAACTAAAACTGGAAGAACGCCCTCATATGCCAAGATTCTGGGCCAGCGATGTCTTCCAGGCTGACAGGTACGTTGAAGACATGTAGGTCTGCCTTGGAATTTCGGGTTTAGGGGTCTATGTAGGGGTATGGCATTAGGAGGGGACTGTTGTGAAGTGTGACCACACTCATGATTTGGTTGTTGTGTGTTTGTGGTTTTGTTGGGTGTGTTTGCCATGCTTTGCGCTCCTCCTTTCTATTCTGGGCTGTTCGTCTCGTGACGTGAGGAACAGGAAACTCTATTCCAGAACCCGGGCCTTGATTCAGAACAGCGGTGCAGCATAGATAAAGACTATAACCCGTTTTGGATCTAGCGTTTAGTAGGTTTCGACAGGATGAGGGAGGTTTGAGACATGTAAAGGCACTCAGACCCCAAGCCCAAAATGAAGAGGCTCCATGAGGGATTGCGGGTGCCGTCGATCTTCAACTCAAACTTCTCAATCCAACTCTTAAACCGCAAGGAAAAACTCGAGATCCTGACCGGAATCCCGTCTCTCGTTAACCCTACAGTAGAAGCCAGAAAGTTGGAATATCATTATCGTAACCCCTTTAAGGTAAATTACAGGGGATCCTACCACTAATCCATATTCCAACTTTCTGGAGTTCCCTTAAGCCCTCCACTCCATCCTGGGCCCCGTATGCTAAACCCTGAGCTTGTATCATCTCACTCCAGTTACCTACATTCTAGACCCAACACCCTAATCTTGAAAGCCATAGAAAGCCTCAACCCTATCGGGCCCTATCGTCCACAGCCTGGACCCCAAGACGCTTCTAAAATCCACACTCCAAGCCATTCAAATCCTCAGCAGAACTCTACAAGCCCATCGTAGAACTCACAGAAGCCCGCGCTACCTGACGAATCCCTGTATTGTCGGGGCCTTAAGAATTGTCTATACTATTTTGGAGATTCCTTATATTATTATAATCATAGCATAACATACGCCCAAACACTATTAAAATTATTAAGTCCCCTACATTATAGGACCCTTACTATACAAATCCCTTATAGTAATCCTTATAAACCTCTTTAGAGGAACCTTATTCTAATTATTACTGCCCCTACACCACTAAACCTTAAACCCTAAACCCTAAATCCCCGAATTCCCACCCCTACACCACTAAACCCCAAACCCCTAAACCGTAAACCCTAAATCCCCCGTATTCCCGAGCGAGTCTCTTGTTCGCACTCCGTCCGCGCATGGCCACCGCAATGAGGCAGCAACCCGCAGCCTCGAACGTTTAGGGCTTCATGGCTACTGAGGAGGCCCTGGGCTCCCTTTACAGGGATCTATAACCCTAAGGGTCGATGTACTCATATAGTATATACCTTGGCCTTAATGTAGTCCCTATGTAGGTACTTTGGGGCCCATGTATCTCTATATGGGTACATGGACCCTTATACCCTAAACCCTCATCGAACCCTTATAGATCCCTTAAAGGAACCCTTAAAGGATCCCTTATGGCACCCTTAAAGGATCCCTTAACTATATGGGTACATGGACCCTTAGGGAAAGGGGTCGTTAAAGGAATCTTTAAGGTTCAGGGTTTTGTAGGTTTAGGGTTTGGGGGGTTTTGGGGGGTTTTGGGGGTTTAGGGGGTTTAGGGTTTAGGGGTTTAGGGTTTAGGGGTTTAGGGTTTAGGGTTTAGGGTTTAGGGTTTAGGGGTTTAGGGTTTAGGGTTCAGTGGTTTAAGGGTTGAGGGGTTGAGGGGTTAGGCTCGAGCTCAAGTGGTCCCGACAGGGCTTTGTAATGCTTGCTTACGTCATAAAGGGAACTCCAGAAAGTTGGAATATGGATTAATGGTAGGATACCCTATAATTTACCTTAAAGGGGTTACGATAATCATATTTCAACTTTCTGGCTTTTACTTTAAGCTGCTTACATGCTATTCCGGGGCATTAACAACGGTGTTCAACAAGGGGGACATATGGAACTCTTACGCGGTATGACGCCATGCCCAAACTACGGTTGATGATATAAATCCTGCACGACCCATAATACGAGCCATAATAAGGAATATACCATAGTTTTCATAGTTTAGGATCCTTAAGGTTATGCAGGATTTATATCATCAACCGTAGTATGGACTCACGCCGCGACAGACCATACCAGACAGGGCTGGTGGAACCTATTGGAGGGACATTCAGGGACAAGCTTTAATCAAACTGGGCTTTGTGCGGTAATGGGTTCAAGAGCACTACGGACGAGTATCAAGAGTAATTATTGAGACTCCGATAGTATTTAGACCAAACATGTTTCAGGGGGCTCGACGATATCATGTATATCTAATCAGGATATCTCGGGTCTCAGCGTGCTCAAAAGATCCTCCAACATCCGGGAAAAGCCGTGAACGACACCCTAAACCCTAAACCCTGAACCCTAAACCCTAAACCCTAAACCCTAAACCCTGCACCCAAGCCCTGAACCCTCAAACTTAAAACCCTACATCCGTACGCCTCACAAGGTGGGATGAAGGTAGGTGGGATTAAGGATCCCTTATATAGGGGCTCTGATTTGGGAATATCCCACCTGCCTTCACCCTACCTTTTGAGGCCCCCGATACATGCCCAAGAGGCCGTCAGCGCTACGAAGGCGGCCAATGGAATGAAGGCTGCGAGATTAGCATCCTGGGTACCCAAAAGCCCTCGATATATGTATGTATGCATGGGTGGTTGTCAAAATAGGGGTCCCTTTATGTGCCCTTATTATAATACGGCACCTAATATTTAGGGTACCCCAAAAGGGGCCATAATTTTGACAAGCACCCATATATGTGTATATATATACATATCTGAAACAGTTTTGTGGATATGTATACTAATTAAGGTATGTAGGCACATGCTGCATGATATATTCTGAATCGTGTCAAAGGCATGACAACTGTGTGTTACTGAAGAACAAAATAATATGTACTACGATGAGATGTAAATATATGATACGATAATAAGATATACCATGTGACAGATCGTGATAGCGTGACATAGGATGTTGCGGTTCAACGGGGTACTATATATATATATATATATATATATGTATGGCACAATGCAGCATAATATGACATTGTATGTATCCAGAGAGAGAGCAAAGTCTACCGTATGATACAACATCATATAACACAACCCAACAAATTATAACAAAATAACACATAGTGAAATGTAAGAAATTGTAGCATAACATACTTGAACTGAAAACCATAATAAAATGTAGTGGCATAACATAACATGGTATGTCAATTTAGTTTACACAAGTTGTTACAGTAATTAACATATATTCTGGTGCAAATACTGAAAGATGTCCAGTATAACAGAGTATAGCAAAGTACACCATAATACACTATAATATAAAACCATCAATCAATAGCGACTTTATATGCCATACTAGATCTTATATCCTATATAAATTCTTATACCTGAAACATGATACCAAACTCCTAGAGCCATAAACTCACCTGAAGCCTGAAACCATAAATTCTTCTACGAAGGCGCCGAGTTCGAGTGAGCACAGGACTCGGAGTAGGGGGTGCACTCGCCGTCGTGACCTTCCAGCGGCAAATGGAGGGGCTGCAGGGAGCGCTTAAAGGATCACGGGACTTAGCAACTACGGCTACCAGTAGGGCGACGTACTTGTAACCTTACCCTACGGGTCCAAGTACCCAATAGTCATACACTCTCCAAAATCCTAACCTACATAACTACTATCCTCAAGCTCAGTACCCGATTATTGGGTCCTTTGGACCCTGAGGGTTACTTACGAAGACCGATGAACCCCCAAGCAGAGGTCACGCGTGGCGGCCGTCGGCTCTGGATGTAAGGAAGTGCCCAGAGCCTCCCAAACCCCTGAAGTAAGGAATAGACCTTAGATTATAGCTTCGTTGCTGAGTTCATAAGCCCCAAAAAGTGCACACTTTTAGTTTCATAGTGGGTAATATCATCCCAAGAAGTGTAATGTGTATCCACTCAGCTGCTAAGATAATAGGATCCCTAACATGATTTGAGGTATATTCCTTAACTAAGGGGTTTGGGAGACTCTGGGTGTTCCTTTTTGTAACATGGAGATGGTTGAGCTAGATGTCGATGTCGACAGTCCCCAAAATCATTCATGGTGACGGCGCTAGAATAAACTATTCAACAACAAGGGGCATTCAAAACTCTCCTCAAATCTCCCTAAACCTTCAACCCTAATCGATACATGGTAAGGGCTTTAAGAACTCTTGGGCTTGGGGCGTTTCTCGGCTCAGGCTTCGGGGGACTCTAAGAGTCAGGGAGTTCCCTGACACTCCAAGATCTAAAACCTAAACCGTAAACCCGACACTACCCTAAACCCTTAAACCCTAAACCCTAAACCCTTAAACCCTAAACCTTAAACCCGAAACCCTAAACCCTAAACCCTTTTAAACCCTAAACCTTTAACCCGAAACCCTAAACCCTTAAACCCTACACCCTAAAGCCTAAACCCTAAACCTAGTTAAGGAATATACCTCCAATCATATTAGGGATCCGACCACAAGTTAAGGTATATTCCTTACTTAAGGGATACTGGAGTCGCTGGGTAGGGACTGGAATCCTCGTGGGTGGTATCAAAGGACGCCGAAAATGGGATGAAGATAGCTGGGATGATCCCCAATTTAGCTTGGGGTTTGGGCTTTCGGCTATAGGATTTAGGGGGCAACCAAGGGCCCACACACATAATATCAGGGACCGGCAATTTTGGTGTTTTGCACGTCCGTTTAGAGCTTGGAGTGCTAGTGAAGGTTGCATGAAGAAGGATCCCTGTGTTTACGGCATGTTCAGGGCATTGATTAATTAGTCTGATTAAGGTCCCTCACTTTCTGAGACGTCGATATGGACTCAAGACATAGTAGACTTTGGACTCAAAGACTACATTACCTAAAAACAAAGTACCAAAGCCCCCTACAGGTGAAGCGTATTCGTGCACCCACTCCCCTCATACTTACTGTTATTGCTCCCACAAGCCGGCCTACTATCTACCCCGACGCCACGCAGACTGGTGGCCTCCGACGTAGCCCGGCGCGCAAAGGCTGCAAGCTTTCCCCGCACGGCCGTAGGCACAGACGCCTTTGCTTTAGCTTAATTAGGCTTTCGGGCATTACTGACAACGGCTGTAAAACCCAAGAAGGAGCATTGTAAGCAGTATATCCCTAAACCCTGAAAACCTAATGCTGAGGCGTCCGAGCGGCTGTTCGTGTTTGGGCACGTCCTATCGCTGAAACAGCGATAGACCGATCCTGCCATGCAGTTATTACGATTCAGGCTTTTGCGGGGGGTGTAGGGTTATGTCCGCGAGCCGTTACTTGCAATTTGCAATGACAAAGTTCACTTGCCAGTGCATCCGTTCCACAGAGCATGGGCCAACCATGATAACCTCCTCTCAAACCCCTTCCGAGCACCAGGGCATCCACAGGCCAATCACGATAACGGCCACTCAGACTTTATTCGAGTACCAGAGCATGGGCCGATCATGAGAGCCGCGGTCGATTCTCTGGAAAACATACAAACCCATAGTGCGAGTGTTGGCTAGCTCCGAAAGCTTACGCAATCCTGCCCACGCTGGCAATTTCCAGCTTTGTGTGCCGAAAAGCCCGGGTGGAAAGTTATGAAACAATCAATTCCAAATGGCAAAAAAACCTGTTTTTGGCCTTATGTAAGGCTGTACATCTTCGGGTGTTTATAAGGCTGGTTTTATACCGGCGTTGTGGATTTACAAGGGGTTGTAAGGTTCTATACGAACTTGTGAAGCTTACAGAGCCACCATATTTGAGATCAACAGTGAATAGTATGCCTTCCTTCTGATGGTGACGTCACTAAGTTCTGCGTCTGTTGGGGAAGGTTAAGGTTTTCGGAGCCTGGTTCCTCAATGATACTCTAGGTAGTATACACCCAAAACCCAAAACTCTAAATGCCAAAACGAGAAACCCTCAGCCAGAAAACCTTAAACCCTAAACCCTATGGTTTAAAATTTCCACACAAGAACCCCAAAACCCTAAACCCTAAACCCCTAAACCCTAAACCCTTAACACCCCTAAACCCCTAAACCCTACACCCCTAAACCCCTAAACCCGAAACCCCATGCACTTCCCCCCTAGTTCGGAGCCTTCCGGAGTGGACCAGAACCTCGGGGACTCTGGTCTTTCGTCTGCTCGGTACTTGGAGGGTCGGGGGACTTAGTAAGTAGGGGCTCCTTTAAAGGGGATTCTAAGGGTTCCTTTAAAGGGCTATGTAGGGCTACTATAGGGTTTAAGGGTTTAGGGACTTAGTAAGTAGGGAATAAGCAGAGTTATAAGTACCCTAAAACAAACCCTAATTGGGGTTATGGTATTTACAACTCTCGAAAATAACTACTTAGCAAGGCCCCCGACCCTCCAAGTACTCTTTAGGGGCTTTGGGTTTAGGGTTTGGGGTTTCGGTGCTTTTTTTCTCTTTCTATCCCGCAGCCAGTCTAAAGATCCCCGATTGAGGGGTTTCGGGGTTTAGGGTTTAAGTTTAGGGTTTTCGGGCCCGTTTTTGCAAGCTACGATGCATTCTGCCTTGCCATTGCGGAAAGCACTGCAGGAAAACCCCTTGCTGCAGGTTTCATGCGCTACTTCTTGACGGCCTGCGGTGTAAGACCCGTACCAAACTTAGTTGCTGAGTTCATAAGCCCCCAAAAGTGTACACTTTTAGTTGCACAGTGGGTAATATCATCCCAAGAAGTGTAAAGTGTATCCACTCAGCTACTATAAGGAAAGGCCTCCATGTCGTAAACCAAAACCCCTAAGCATTCACCTGCCAACTCCCCTGAGAACATCAACCAGGCCCAAGCCCATTACATTCATCATCACTACACAGAATGGCCTGCAGGTCCATCATGCCAAAATCATGGAAATGATGCAAACAAGCAGAAGCATGATGAACGAAACCTCGGCCCTAGGCGCGAAGCCCCAAGCCAAAACGACCCGAAATCCCAATGAAGCAAGATATGACTATGACTTAACTGTACAGCAGCAACAGCGTCACAAAACCAACATACCTTTGGATAAGCGCGAGGACTGTGAATAATAACAATAACACTAATAGCACGGAGAAGAAAAGTTTGGAGCATGGTGTGTCGGGTTTCGGGTTCCGGGTTACAGGCCTATCAACCTAAAAGCCCCTAAACCCAAAACTCCAAAAGCCCCGTAGCCACCTTAAACATACTGAACAAATACTATTTTTTCTCCAAAAAAAAAAGCAATCGAACACTAACCATCAAAACAAGTTGAACCTACAAACTTAGTGGCTGAGTTCATAAGCCCCCCCCCCCCCCCCCAAAAAAAAAGTGTACACTTTCAGTTTAAGAGTGGTTGATATTATGCCAAAAAGTGTAAGGGTGAATCCCTCAGCTACTAAGAAAACAAAACAACGTTCTTTTTGCCAGGAGGCCCCGGCACCAGTGGCGGCAAACCAAGGCTGAACTGGAAGAGGTTCTCCCACTGACAGGACTGGCCTCTTTTGCGATTCAGGGCTTTGGGTACTAGGGCTTGATAAGGGTTACTAAGGTTCTATAAGTTTAGATTCGGGTTTAGATTAGGGTTTAGGGGTTTAGGGGTTTTAGGGTCTTAGGGTTTTAGGATTTTAGAGTATCAAGGTTTTAGAGTTTTGAGTTGTTTCAGGGTTTTAGGGTTTTAGAGTTGTAGGGTTTTAGGCTTGGGGCTTAGGGTTTGACATTTGGGGTTCAATAAGGGTTTAGGGTTCGAAGTTCAGAAGTCTCCCCCAACCATGAAATCCGCAAGCTCTCACGACAGATCCCCCAAAGAAACCCTGACCGACCAGCCCAAAACCTATACTGAACTTAGAACCCTAGCAAATATTATCATTTGAGCTGTTTCTTAGGGATTCTAATGACCAAAAATTAAAAAGGATTTCTAAGTACCCCTAAGAAAGCACAACGTTTGGGGTCTCAGGTTTCGGGTTCAGGGTTTATGTAGGGTTCAGGGCTTCGTCGACCGAGATACTGCTGATGGACAAAATCCTGCATTACCCAGTAGAAGAATATACCATAGTTCCCATAGTTTAGAGTCCTTAGGGTCAGGCAGGATTTTGTCCATCAACAGTAGCATATCTAAGGTAGGCTCATTGATTGAGGGCTACTGGGCTGTCTGGAACACCGCTAAACCCTAAAGCTTAAAGAGCTCTAAAACCCAGAGAATCCGCACAAACCCAAAGGGTCCCTGTACTCATGCATTCTGGTCATTGGCCTTAAGGCAATCCCTGTGTAGGTACTTTTTTAGGCTTAAGTATGGTGTATTTGGGGACATGGAGCCTTATGGTACGCCTCACACTTCCAAATCCTGGTCGTTTTGAAAACCCTAGACCCTAAACAATCTCCGGCCTGAATTGCACCGCTCGCAACTTTGGGTCGCTTCACTCCAGTGGTAGCCGTCCCGGCATCCGCAGTTGCCGTCCGTGACCTTTCGAGAGATGGGGTTTCTTAAAATTAAGGGTGCATTGTCGCTGCTCTGGGTCCTTAAAAAAAGAATCCTACTATCTAGGGTACTATCTTAAGGTCCCCCTATTTTCGGAAACTCCCAATATGAACCCTTATAGAGAGCCCTTTAAAGGAACCCATATAGTACCCTGATAGTAGCCCTTTAAGGGAACTTTTAGGGTCCCTCATGTTCGGAAACTCCCATACTTGGAGGGTCGGGGGACTTAGTAACTGATTATTTTAAGGAATTATAAGTACCATAACTCCAATTAGGGTCCCTTTTAAGTAGTTACTACCTACTTACTAAGTCCCTGAACCCTAAACCCTAAGCCCTATCGTACCCCTATAGAGCCCTTTAAAGGAACCCTTAGAATCCCCTTTAAAGGAGCCCTTACTAAGTCCCCCGACCCTCCAAGTAGAGGGTTGAAGCCGGAGCCTGGGTAATGACGCTTGGCAGCCGGAAAACCTCAACGTTCTCCTCCCTCTGCGTCTGAAGTACAGTAAACCTTAGAAGCTGCCCCCACGCTGTAATAGTGACTATAAGGATTATATTAGGGCCCTATTATATTCCTATTATACCACTATTACAGGGTGGGGGCAGCTTCTGAAGTAAACTCCATAAAGTTGGAAACCGAATAAAGGTCAAACAGTGCTGGGATTCCTTATGCATTACTCCGGGATTGAGGCTATTGGGTTTCCAACTTTTAGGCTTCTACTGTAGTTCTGATCACTGGCCAGATTTACTCTTCTAGTTCATGAGCAGGGCTTCTGCTTTCGCGATGCAGGCACCTGCGGGCTACCCCGAACAGTGGTAAGTTTGGGCCACTCCCGGAAAAATACGAATGGACAATTCTTTGCTGTCTCAGAACCCTCAAACCCCAAAGGGCAGTAAACCCTAACCCCCAAACCCTAAACCCCTGAAGCTTCAAAAAGCCCAAAACCCTAAAACCCCTCTAAACCCCCCTCTAAACCCCGCCAAAAGCCCCTCTAAACCCCGCCAAAAGCCCCTCGAAACCCCGCCAAAACCCCTTTTAAACCCCGCCCAAACCCCCTCTAAACCCCGCCGAAACCCCTTTAAACTCCGCCCCTCTAAACCCCAAAACCACAACCCCCAGAGTAACCTCCTGAAAGACCAGGTCTACACCCCCTTAAAAATGAAGCCTAATAAGGTAGGGATCTCCCCGTAAAATGCCTATGCTTATGTTCTTTCGGGGACCCTATAACCCTCAGCTTAAGCCCTAAACCCTATAGATTTGAAATAGATACCTTAAAGGAACCCTTAAGGATCCCCTTAAAAGGTAGTATAGGTAATTAATATGGCCCCAACATTATAATGTCCTTTTGGGTTTCTTAAAACCCCAAAACCCTAAACCCTAAACCCCTAAAGCCCTAAAACCGTAAACCCTAAACCCTAAACCCTAAAACCCTAAAACCCTAAGCCCTAAACCCTAAAACCCTAAAACCCTAAGCCCTAAGCCCTCAAACCCTAAAATACCCTGAACCCCTAAACCCGAAACCCTAAACCCCCTACAGTACAAGCCAGAAAGTTGGAATATGATTATCCTAAACCCTTTATGGTAAATTATAGGGTATCCTACCCTGAAACCATATTCCAACTTTCTGGAGTTCCCTTTAGGAAAGAGGCCTCCAAAACCCCTTAATTAAGGAATATACCTTAAATTATAATAGGATCCCTAATACGATCTTAAGGTATATTCCTTAATTAAGGGATATTGGAGTTTCTGGGCCTCCTGAAAGGACCCTCAATAAGACCCTTAATATATCTAGTATCTACCCATTATATAGCCCATTATAGGGTAGGGGTCCCCTCTGGAGTTCCCTGTAGGAAGGTAAGGTATATTCCTTGATTAAGGGGTTTTGGAGACTCTAAAACCCTAAACCCTAAGCCCTAAACCCTAAAACCCTAAACCCTAAACCCTAGAAGCCCTAAAATACCCTGAACCCCTAAACCCGAAGCCCTAAACCCCCTAGGAAAGTAGGGCCCCCAAAAAGCACATAAGCAAAAATTAGGATAGGGACATCCGATATAAATCCCCTTACAATGAAGCCCAAGAAGGTAGGGATATCCCCACAAGATGCTTATGCTTATGTGCTTTTTGGGTCCCTCTAAGTAGGGTTTAGAGTACCCTATAGATCCCTTATAGATCCCTTTAAGGAACCCTAGGTATATTCCTTAATTAAGGGGTTTCGGAGGCTCTTGGCCCTAGGAAAGAGGCCTAAACGGCGGCCCTCTAGACCCTAGATCCCTCCAATAAGAAACACCAAAAAGAGCCCTAAAACCCTGAACCCCTAAACCCGAAACCCTAAACCCCCTAGGAAGTATATTCCTTATGGGTGTAATATAGGTATTATTATTTTTTTTGGGGGGGTTTCTTAAGCAAATAGTAGAAAGAGGCCTCCTGGAAGGCCAGGGCTGTCTGGCAGACGCAGGCGGCGTCTCCAATGGCACCCACTTGGATGGTCGTCTGGTAGCTCATGCAGGCCTCCACTGGACTTAGTATAAAGGGGTTCATTAGGGATCTATTTTAAGGGATCTATGGGGGTTTAGGGCTTCGTAGCTCATGCAAGCCTCCGTTTAAAGGAACATGGGACTGAGTAACTGAAAGGGTTCCTTAAAAGGGTTCTTTAGGGAACTGAAAGGGTTCCTTAAAAGGGTCCTTCAGGGATCTATAAGGGATCTATGGGGGGGGGGTTAGGGTTTAGTAGCTCATGCAGGCCTCCAATCACCCATAGCCCCCATAGTAACCTTATGGATTTCTATATATGAACCACAGGTTTAAGGCTTTAGGGTTTAGGGTTTAGGGTAGCTCATGCAGGCCTCCACTGGACTTAGTATAAAGGGGTTCATTAGGGATCTATATTAAGGGATCTATGGGGGTTTTAAGGTTTCGTAGCTCATGCAGGCCTCCACTTAAAGGATCATGGGACTTACAGGGTTCCTTAAAAGGGCTCTTTAGGGATCTATGGGGGGTTTAGGGTTTAGTAGCTCATGCAGGTCTCCAATCAAGGCGCGCAGAAAGCTCTAGGCAACCCTCAAAGCAAACAAAAATGGCAGGCCGCGAAGCTTTCCGGCGCAGGGCAGGATCATGGGACTTAGTAAGTAAGGTTATAAGTACCCTAATTGGGGTTATTGATATGGCTACCCTAGTAATATGCCTAGTTACTAAGTCCCATGATCCTTTAAGTGGGCTTAGGGTTTGGGATGCTTCAAGGCTTTTAAGGTTCGGGGTATTTAGGAGTTACGAAGACAATGCTGTATGAGCATGATGAACAAACCTAAACCCTAAACCCTAAAGCCTAAACCCTTGTAAATCCCAGAGTTTTGAGGGCACATGCTCTCGATTGAACCTAAGCCCCGGATCTTGAAGAACAAGCTCCTAGACTCCAATTCCGTAACCCAACGCCCTAAGCCTTACACCCTGAACCCCAAACCGGTTCAGGCCGGTTCGGGGTTAAGATACGTTTTTTAAGGGCTTAAGGGTTTAGGGGTTTAGGGGTTTAGGGTTTAAGGTTCAGGGGCGCATTGATGATTGGAGCTGCAATGGGGCTTGAAGAATTAGACTAGGGTTTGGTCCAGTATATTACAGTTGAGTTAAGATAAGAAACGCGAAAGAAGAGTATCGCTAAGTGTTGCGGCTTCTAGACTACATGGTCTACTGCCCATATTTCCGATAAGCCCAAAAGGGCATGGCTCAACAGTCACGAACCTGGATAAACCCTAAACCCTAAACCCTCATGAATCGAAGCTTCTTTGGGACCCAATGTCCCTACGAAGACGAAGGCCACGAGAGCCCCCAAAACTTTAGGGTTCAGGGTGCTATTTGGAGGATCATGGGACTTAGTAAGTAAGGCTCCTTATAGGGTTCCTTAAAGGGATCCTTAAAGGGATCTATAAGGGATTTATAGTGCCATTATAAGAGTTCTACAAGGAGGATCATGGGACTTGTAAGTAAGGTTACAAAGGCCCTAAGTGGGGTTATAAGTATAACTCTAGAAACTAAATCCCATGACCCTCTAAGTAGGCAAACCTGCCACGTAGATGCCTTCGTAGGAGAAGTGATTGAGAACGAAAAGATGTGAGGCCAGCTCGCCTGAAAGCCTTATCCCCTAAACCCTAATCCCCTCAAGCCTAAACCCTGCACTCTAAACCCTACTTAGAGGAACATGGGACTTAGTAAGTAGGCTATAACTGGGGTTATAAGTCCCCTAAGTGGGGTTATCCTAATTATAACCTACTTATAACCCTACTTACTAAGTCCCATGATCCTTTAAGTAAACCCTAAACCCCCCCATAGATCCCTTATAGATCCCTTTAGAGATCCCTTTAAGGAACCCTTTAAGTTACTAAACCCTGCACTCTAAACCCTACCCCAAGGGTCCAAGTACCTCATAATCATATACTCCCCGAAATCGTAACCCACATAACTACTATCCTAAAACCGAGTACCTTACTATTGGGTCCTTTGGACCCTTGGGGCTAAACCCCTCAAGCCCTCAAGGCCCCTCCACCCTAAGCATATTGTGCCCAGCTGTTGCCTGGCACCTGCCCTCTCGTTCCGGCACTCCTTCGTCCGTAGGCCAGAAAAACCTGAAGAAGCTGATGGGAAGCGAAAAGTTAGGGTTTAGGGTTTAGGAGTTAGGCTTTAGGGTTTAGGAGCTGGGAGGCCAAAACGGGGGTTTAAGATTCTTGGGGTAGGGATTCCTTGAATATGAACCCTATTATGGGAACCCTAATCCCTCCTAAACCCCCATATGCTAAAACCTCTTTTGGCCTCCTATGAGAAGCAGTCAAAGGGAAAGGCCCCAGGCCTTCAAGGGCGGTGCAAGTAAGGGGCTTAGGGTGACTTTAGGGGTTCTTGAAGGGTTCTACAAGGGCTTCCACAACGGACACCCTCGACCCAGACCCCCAACAACCCTCTATTACCCAGAGGGTCCAAGTACTCACTATTTTAGTACTTTAGGGCCTTTTTAGGTATCTAAAACCATAAATAAGCACTACTTGGACCCTTAGGGTTATACCCCAAATACCTACTGTTAAGGGCCATAGAGGGCTCCATTGAAGGGCCCTTGGGTGGCTTCTAGGGTTTAGGGTTTAGGGTTTAGGGAATGGATCTACGGCCCAAGGCTTTGGTTGATGGCACTCAGTGACTCGACTCAGGCTTCCTGGGCTCTACCCTAAGGGTGCAGGTATCTCATTAGGAGGGTCTGGAATGTCCTAGCAAGAGTCTTTGGATCTCTTTGGGGTCTCAGAAACCCTCAATTGCGAGGTTCGCCAACTTGTATTAGGACCCTTAGGGTATGCCGTATTTATGCAAGTGCGGGGGGCGGGGGGTCTTGTTCTTCAACGCTTTAGAGGGCCCTGCTTAAAGTGTAAAGGGTTAAGGGCTTCGGGGAAAGAGCCTTTCAAGCCAGTCAGGCCTTCATAACTAGACTGGAGCTATAGTCTCATTAAGCACAATGGGAAACCCTGAGGAACAACATTATCCTTGTTCAGGCTTGAGCATTTGGTTGCAGGCCAGCTTATGGATTTGCGAATTCAGAGTCTCTGGGTTTGGGGTGCAGGGTCTTCCGGGATTCAGGCTTGAAACTGGATGAGGTTTGAAATTCGGTGTTACGGGTTTCAGACATTTGGGTTTGAAGGTCTGGGTTTTCTCAGGAGGGTGCTTTGTCGAGGTTTGCAGTTCTTCGCTAGAAAAGGGCGACACCCCAAACCTTAAGCCCTGAACCCTCAAACCCTAAAACCCTAAACCCTAAACCCGTAAACCCCTAAACCCCTAAACCTCGAAACTCTAAACCCCTAAAGCCTATCTGAACACTGAACCCTATGCCCAAAGAACAGCCAGAGCCACCCGCGAGGGCACAGAAGCTGAAGCTTGCCCGCAAGAACTCGGAAATCCGGTGGAGACCTTGGGCTGAAAAGGGTTTAGGGTTTAGGGTGTAGGGTTCAGGGTGTAGGGTATAGGGTTTAGGGTTTAGGGTGTAGGCTTTAGGGTTTAGGGTGTAGGGTATAGGGTGTAGGGATTAGGGTTTAGGGTTTAGGGTTTCCGAAAATAGGGACCCTAAGAGTTCCTTGAAAGGGCTACTATGAGGGTACTACGGTTGATGATATAAATCCTGCACTACCTTAAGGACCCGAAACTATGGGAATTATGGCATATTCCTTATTATGGGTCATGCAGGATTTATATCATCAACAGTATAAGGGCTCCTGGGCTCTATTATAAGGGTTCATGTTGGGAGTTTCCGAAGAAAGGGGACCCTAATGTAGTATCCTAAATAGTATGATCCTTATTATAAGGACCCCAAAATACGGTGCCCCTAATTTTCGGAAACTCCCATTTGGGGCCTTGGGGTTCAGGGCTTGGGGGTGAGGGGTTTAGTGTTTAGAGTTCAGGGTTTAGGACTTAGGCCACTAACGCAACACCCCAATACCTAAACCCCCTACCTGCATCCAAGAAGACCCCCTCTTCTGTTGCGTTGCGGAGCTCAAGGATTCAGATGTTGAGTTATTGCAGTTCGGCCAGGGGCCAAAAGCTTCAGGCATAGGCATGGGAAGTCGAACAAGTATAGGATTGGTATTTGAATTCTGATAAGGCAGAATACAAACCCCGAACCAGATTTGTACCTAAAAGAAGCTCAAACCCTAAACCCTGATCCCTAAAACCCTGCGGTTTCTTCTTTTATACATCAGATATATTGGGCCTGAAGCAACAGAGTCGAAGCTGAAAGGTTATGTAAGGTAGTGGCAGAATGGCTCGGGTCCAGGGCTTGGGGCTTCAAGTCGCTGGCTTGTGTAGGAGTTGGAAGATCCTCACATAAAACCAGCCATGTGGGCATGTGGTGGATATGACTACCAAACCAACCTGCTGGTTATCGCTTCGTTATCGATTTAGACACACTCTGAACAAACTGCAAAATTTGCAGAACTTGACCTTTCGTGATGCACACGCCCCTCTTGATGTTAACCCAGGGTTATCGCTTCCGGGCAGGCGCCTTATCGTTCTGCAACGTAAACGTTAACATCCTGATGCCCGGGTAGGCCCGCAGACGAATCCTATGTACGGAGAGAAACGCCTGTAGCTCATCTCTTACTCTACCATCATAGAGCCCTTGAAGGAACCCCCTATCGTACTCCAAAACCCAAACCAAGCCCCTTGTAGTACCCTGACCTAAACCCTGAATCTTTAACCCAAGCCCCTTATAGCACCCTACACCCTCAACCCTAAAGCGTAAACCGTAAACTTAAACCCAAAACCCCTTTATAGTACCCAGGCGCTGGCACTGAGCCCCCGCTGGGCACCAGCAAAGATCCAGCTCTCGGAGAACGCTCCCCGAAGAGACGGAAAGGTGACCGAAGCTATAGTTGGCCTTAGGTTCCGCGTCTACTTGAAGGCTCATGGGACTTAGTAAGTAGGGTTATAAGTAGGTTATAATTATAGGATAACCCCACTTAGGGGACTTATAACCCCAGTTATAACCTACTTACTAAGTCCCATGATCCTCTAAGTAGGGGTTTCGTGGTTGGGATGGTTGGTGCCCCTGAAACCTGAACCCCTCCACCCTAAACCCTATAGCAAGGGCTTAGGGTCTAGGAGTCTAGGGGGCTGCGTTCCCTTCATAGTTGTGTCCTTTCTATAAGGACCCCAAAACAAGGTACCCCTAATTTTCTGAAACTCTAAACCCCTTGTTGAGCCCTTATAAAGGAACCCTTACAAGGGATCTAAAGGGTTCCATGAGGCTTCGTACGGCTCCTTCGGGAGGCTTAGCGAAGCTAGAGAAGCGCCAATCGGCCGCAGAGGGTTTAGGGCTTAGGGCATAGGGCATAGGGTTTAGGGCTTAGGGTTTAGGGTTTAAGGTTTAGGGCTTAGGGTTTGGGGTTTAGGGCTTAGGGCTTAGGGTTTGCAAACGGTTTGGGGTTTAGGGCTTAGCGTTAAAGAGTGCCTCTTTTGTCTTTAACTTGGAGGCTCATCGGACTTAGTAATTTCAGGGCAAAAAGTGCCTTAGCTGGGATTGTAAGTAGTTCTAAGTATAGATACCCTACGGATCACCCTAGGTACTAAGTCCCATGATCCCTGAAGTAGGGTGCGCAAGGCTTCAAGGTTTGGTACAGTCAGGACTTTGGCCCAAAACCTACCCCCAAACCTTACCCTAGCTGCTGTGTTCATAAGCTCCAAAAAGTGTACACTTAGTAAGTAAGATTATCCCAAAAAGCATAAAGTGTGTCCACTCAGCTGCTAAGCTGCTAAGCTAAAATCCAAACCCTACTAAACCTCAGAAACCCTAAAGCCACGAAGCTTTTCAGCTTCACAACCCGAGCACCCCCTAACAGTTGAGGGCTTAGGGCTTGGGATTTACCCCAAAGGGTCCAAGTACCCCAAAACCATATAAATCCTAACCTGCATAACAATTCTCCTAAAACCGAGTAGTTACCTCATTATTGGATCCTAATTATTGGATTTCCTAGACACCCAACTCCCCTCTAATGTATCCGAAATACCCCCTATTAAGGGACGTAAGGGCACCATTAAGGGGTATTTAGGGGGTCCGGGCTCAGGGCTTAAACCCAGCTGAGCTGCACCATCCAAAGTAGTAGCCACTGGGAACTCGGCTCCCCATTCCTTTGTTGGGTACGCAGAGACGCCAATATCCCTTACTTTAGGAATACACCTTAAAATGTAGTTGGATCCCTAAAATGATTTCAAGGTATGTTGCTTGATTACGGGATATTGGAGTCTCTGGGTCTGTGTCTGTCTGGTTCTTAGTAGGGAATGGGGGAATGGGTTATCGGGAGTGGCATAAGAAGGGTCCAGGTGTCTTCTTAGGAGGGTCCGAAGTCTCGGAGGGCACTTCTTGAGTCTCTTTGGGGTCTCAGAAATCCTACATTTTGAGCTTCCCTAAAGTGTTAGCACCCTTGGGGCTTAAGGGACTATCATAGGGATCCGGTGGGTGTCAAATTTAGTGTCCCTTTTTGGGTACTCTAAATAGTAGGTGCCGTATTATACTAGGGGCCTAAAAAGGGACCTTAATTTTGATAACCACCCACATGTTCCGGGTGTGGCGCTTTTTTGACATTTAGGGCGCCTAGAAACCCTAAATGCCTTGACCCCAAACACCTAAGCCCGAACCCCCAAATCCAGAACCACTGAACCCTAAACCACAAACAACCCTAAGCCTTTCGAAGGCCTTCTACAAGGATCTTACAAGCTCTTGCGCCCAAATCCGAACTCCCAGCCTAAAGGTTTAGGGCTTAGGGGTTTAGGGTTGAGGGCTCAATGTGCACTCTAAAACCTCAAACATAAACCCCACACCCGAAACTTGCTCTTGAATCTTACATGGGGGCTCGTCTTGCTGACTGTAACTCTGAGAGTATTCCTTTAGAGAAGCCTTCTAGAAACCTTAGAGAACCCTTGAAGTAGCGCTTGCAATATGGTGCTCCTCACAGTAGCCCGTATGGAAACCTGAAACTGGGTTAAACCCTACTATAGATCCCTTATGGAGCCCTTGAAGGAACCCTTTTAAAGGAACCCTACTCTCTGCAGTGGTCACATGAAGCCTGTTCTAATTGTCAACACCCTAAGCCTAAAACCTAGAGACCCCTTTAATTTAAAGGACTCCTTATACATCACTTTAAAGCAGCCCCTTTAGTAGCTCCCAGGCTCGACGCTCGCGGCACTTCCACAGCTCTCCAGGGCCATGAGCTTGTCGCCGCTTTGCAAGCCCGTTCCTCTTCAGGGTTTAAAATGATTAGGTGATTTTTTGACTTAAGTTTAAAATTTACGGCTTATTAGGCTATAGGTTTATGGGTTATGGGGTAGGGTTTGGTTTAGGGTTTACGTTTTTTGGTGGTTTTAGGGATGTTGGCTGAGGGTCTAGGGCTTCGAGTTGAGGCTTGGTGTTTATGGTTCATAGTTTAGGGCTTAAGGTCCTAGTAGGGTTCTACACGGATCCAATGACGGCCAGAAAATGAGGCCTAGAAGGCTTCTAAAAGGGTTTTTACAAGGATTCTGTAGTCATCCGGCCGATGATCCCGGGTAAGTACACTGAAAATATCGGAGTTTCCGAAAATAGGGGATCCTAATATAGTACCCTAAATAGTAGGATCCTTATTATAAGGACCCCAAAATAAGGTACCCCTAATTTTCGGAAATTCCCATATGCAACCAACCACCACGGACAGGGCCCTAAAAGGATTGGGTTTAGGGTTTAGGGTTTTGTTTAGGGTTTAGGGTTTAGATGGGTTTAGGGTCCCCGCGTTAGCAAGTTCCTTGCTCCTGGCCCTGACTCGCTAGCACTGTCGACTACTAGGCTGTTCAGTAACCCACTGGGAAAACGTATATACTTTTGTTGGCTGATTATTTTACAACAGGAACCCAGAAACCTGAAAGTAAACAAGTGTACCACTGAACAGCCTGGCCCCTCAATCATACAACTCGATCCCGGGAACTCAATATTAATCCAGTCCCTGGTTCCTAACGGAACACGTGATTCCCTTTCGTCAGCCCGCGCGGAGTCAGCAAGGGTAATTAGCATCACTGGGCCCCCCCCCTTCAGTAGTCAATCAACCCTGCCTGGGCTTAAAAGCCATCGAAAAGGGGGGAGGGTTTGTTATTTGGACCTCAGAGTAACCTATGTAGGAATAAAAAAGGTGTCCTTTTTGGTTTAGAGGGGGTTATAAGGGAACCTAAACATTAAAAAAGGGAATAAGGGCCTACTCTGCGTCCTAGTTGTTATGAAGTCAACATTAGTGTGTGTGTGTGTGTGTGTGCGTGCGTGTAGCCCCAGACCCCCAAAACCCTTAGCACTAAAAACCCTAAACGCGAACACACTAAGTCCTAGATTCCTGGCACCACGACTTTGAGTTCAGAGGCATACGGTTGGAGCTTAGTCTACGCCCTTAAAGCCTGAACCGTAATGTAGCGACCTTAATGACTTGCACCACTATTGATCGAATGCCACACACATAGCTGTTCTTTCTAACTAAGCTGTTTGCAATCCCTCAAAGCCCTCTTCCAATTCATTGCCCCCATGCTTCTTGAGGAGCAAACCCAAACCCTAAACCTCAGTAATGGGAAGATGCCAAAGTGCGCAGACTCGCGTGCGCCGCTCTTTCAGAAAAACCACACACGCATACACACACACACACACACTCACACACACACACACACACACACACACCATCACACACTTGAAACCAAATATTGGTGTTTGGGTTTTGAAGCTAACTGTCGAGGACTTGATCATTAGACTGATAATTGCACAATTGTATAGCGATCGTACGGGACGATATTTTGGTAGCTATCCCGACCCCTTGATTAAAGGGTTTTGGGTTGGGGGTTTGGGGCTGGCATTTGCAAGACTTTAACAATTTCGATTTTAAATTTCTATCCACGCTCGGGGTTAGGATTTGCAGCGTCTGGGCCCAGTCCTGTCAGCCCAGGCAGGACACAGGTGGAGTTCAGCATGCACTGAACGCGACTTCCCTGTTGAGGGCCGGAAGCCTTGAACAGGCCCACCTGGTCAGTTGGGTTTAGGGCTTAGGGCTTAGGGCTTAGGATTTAGGTTGCTGAGTAGGCTGAGTAGCCCTTGTCCTAGTATTGAGAAGAGAAACCCCCCAAAAGACAGAAAGGGCAAGAGCGTACTACTCAAGAACCTAGAACAACAAACTTGAAAGCCTTTGCAGACATAACCAAAAACCCTGAGAAACAATCCCAGATGCAAGAGCAATAGAGGCTCTATGAGCTACCGTTGATGATGTAAACCCTGCATTACCTTCATGATCCTATAGGAATTATAGTATATTCCTTACTATGGGTAATGCAGGATTTATATCAAATATCATCACCCGTATTTCGCCCGGTCCTTTACAGGCGAGTTTTCTAGGGTTGAGCCTGGTCCGTGAAAGTTGATGCAGCATGCTTCAGAAGCTGCCCCCACCCTGTAACAGTGGTATAATAGGAATATAATAGGGCCCTAATATAATCCTTATAATCACTATTACAGGGCGGGGGCAGCTTCTAAAGCATGCTGTAAGACAGAGATGTGATGCATGTTATTTGGCTTTTCCAGTTCAAGATTTGGGGCCTATAATAGGATTACCTACAAATGTTTACAGAGCTGCATCAGAACTCCTAGGCTTATACATGCTGGTTTAACCAACACCCTCAACTACCGTTGGCTTCGTGTGCTGTGCTCGATCAACCGGTTCTTACACTTTCACTCCAGAGAACTACCTATAGTCTCCATTGTAGTTCCTTTTTCTGGTTGAATCAATTTTTATGTTAAGGATCCCAAAAGGTAACCCCAAAAAGGAACTACAATGGAAACCATAGGTATACCTCCTCTAAACCCCTGAAACCGTCAATCAGTCACCGGCAGATCCCCAACTCACTCCCCAAACAGTGTGACATAGGAACCTTAATAATTAGAAAAGGTCTTCGCGGCCCAGTATACTATATTTATAATAAGGAAACCCCCAACATAGTATAGGCAATAATTACAGTAAACCCCATAAAGTTGGAAACCGGATTAAGGCCAAATAGTGCTGGGATTCCTTATGCATTTGTTCTTAGGGATCGAGGCTATGGGGTTTCCAACTTTTGGGCTTCTACTGTAAAGCCCCTATAGCTATAGGAACCTGATTAAGAAACTCTGGGTCTTTCGTAAGGTTCTGTAGTATGGATCTCAACATGATCAGGTTCCTGCGGTAGGATCCGGGATTTTAGAGTTTAGGATCCAGTAGGCTTAAGATTTGGGGTCTCGGCTTAGGTTTCTCAGAAAATATGGGAACCAAATAGGCAACCAAATATAGCACTAAATAGTCGTTTATTCACCGAGTTCTTCGAGGAAATCAAATCATAGGGGTCCAAGTACCTAATTATCATATACTCTCCGAAATAGCAACCTACACTTGGCTGACTTCTGAACCCCTCCTAAAAGCTAAATTTTTAGCTTCCTTATTATAGATCATATAAAAATCCAAAAAGTTAAAGTCCTAAGAGCCAACCAGAAGAACACCGAGTACAAAACTACTGACCTAAACAGAGAGTACCTACTTATCGGGTCCTTTGAGCCCTTCGGGAAATGAGTATCTCTTAGAAGCTGCCCCCACCCTGTAAAAGTGACTATAAGGATTATATTAGGGGCTTTTCATATTATACCACTATTACAAAGTTGGGGCCCCTTCCTAAAGTATCTCTCTTTTGTGATATGCACATCTGCGACCTAAGGTTTAGGTTTGGGGATCCCCAGACCCGAACCCAGGCCGCAACTTACATGCAACCCCTAAACTGCCCAAACCCTAAAACCCTACAGATCCCTTTAAGGAACCCTTTAACTAACCTTACTTACCAAGTCCCAGGATCCTCCAAGTAGTACCCTAAACCCTGAACCCCCAACCTGGGATGCCCAGCAACCTAGGAATAAAAAGGGCTCTCTTTTTGGTATTGGGTAACTCTACAAGGAACCTGGGACAACAAAAAGTGCAAAATGGCCCACTGGGAGGCCTAGTAACCCTAAACTTGAAACCTTGCATGAACCCTAACCCGCAAGCCCTATAGATTCCTAAAGATCCCTTGAGAGAAGGCTTGAAGGAACCCCTAAACCCCTTTTATACTTAAGCCTTCAAGTGGTCCCTATACAGGTACTTTAAAGGCCTAAGTATATCCTATATGGCTACATGGAGCCAACGGGCCCCTAACCCTAAACCCTAAGCCCCCCTCACCCTGAACCCTTATACACCCTAGGACCCAAACCCTGCACCCTAAACCCCTAACCCTAAACCCTAAACTCCTAACCCTAAACCCTAAACCCTAAACCCCTAAACCCTAAACCCTTAACCCTAAACCCTAAAGCCCTAACCCCTAACTAAACCCTAAACCCTTCACCCTAAACCCTGAAGCCCTAACCCCTAACTAAACCCTAAACCGTTCCTAGACCCCCCAACTACCCTCTGCTAAACCCTAAATACCCACTATTGAGGACCATGAGGTCTCTATTAAAGGATACTTGGTGGGGTCCTGGTTAACCCCGAACGATCCTAACCCTAAACCCTAAACCCTAAACCCTAAAACCCTAAACCCCTAACCCTAAAACCCTAAACCCTAAACCCTAAAGCCCTAACCACTAAGCACTAAAAACCCTAAACCCTTAACCCCGAACGATTTAACGCTTGCCGCTTGCCGCCTGTTGCTGGAAGTCCTCCTTGTCGGTGCACGCCGTCGCGCCCCCGCGGCACCAGCAAAGGCTGAAAACACCCGACCTTTTAGGGTTTGGGGCTCCTTGAAAGGCTCCATTTAAGGGATCTATAGGATTTCAGGGTTTCGAGATTCTAGGTTTAGGGTTTAGGGTTTAGGTTTTGAGTTTAGGGTTTAGGGGCTATGTTAAAGGCTTCTTAAAGGGGCCTATAATCGGACCTATAAGGGTTCTATAGAGGGGTTTAGGGGTTTAGGGGGAAAGGCTGAAAACACCCGACCTGGCTTTTTTAAGGCTTCTTACACCCAGGGGGTCCAAGTACCCCAAAAAGTAGGGGTTTAGGTCTCAAAGGCTCCTCAAAGGGACCTTTAAGGGTTCCATAAAGGGGTTTAGGATTTGGGTGCTCCTTAAAGGGACCTAGAAGGGTTCCACGAAGGGGCTTAGGGTTTTGGATTCAAGGGCTCCTTACTTAAAGGGACCTAGAGAGTTTGCATGAAGGGGTTTAGGGGTTAACCAAACCCCAAACCCTAAACCCCTAAACCCTAAACCGGGTTGAAGGGCTTTTTTTGTTTAGGGTTTCGGGGTTGGCTTTGGGGCTGTGGGCCGACCTGGTTTTATGGGCTCTGTAGAGCTCCTTCAAAGGCTCCTTTTGGGTTCCTCTGAATAGATCTATGTTATACATGGACCCTAAACCCTAAACCCTTTTGGGTTCCTCTTGTGTTAGACAGGCTGTAGCTTTAGATATTGGGTTGGAAGCCTCTAGGTTTGGTTGGGCGGGTATCTGCGCTTACAGTTTCGATTTCTTTGGGAATCAAAACCAGGCTGCCATAACAAGACGGTAATATTAAGTTCTGATTATGGATGTAGGGTGCTTGGGGGGATTAAGAATCGAGGGGTTTCGGGTTTGTGGTGTGCTAGTTTAGGATCATGTATCGGCGTTTCAAACGGCCTACCCAAGCTTTTATATACCTGTGACAGTACAATAGGCTAAGTCAAAACCTGTCGTGTCGCTCACCCACGGTAAAAACATCGATCAGTCAGTTCACTAAACAGGGATGATGTCTTCCACGAGGAATGCAAACCCGATACTTTGGATACTGGCGGTGCTGTAAGCCCAACAAATTTGCATCTCCAGTGCCAACACGTGAGCATATCTCAAGAGACAAAAATCACCTAATTTTGTTCAAGCAAAGCTTCCCTTCATAAAGCCCAAGCCTCGCAGCACCCGCCCACAACCTGAACCCTAAACCCTAAACCCCAAACCCAAAACTCTAAACCCTAAACCCCCAACCCCAAACCCTCAACCCTAAACCGTCAACCCCAAACCCTAGACCCCAAACCCTCAACCCCAAACCCTAAAAACCCCAAACCCCAACCCTAAACCCGAAAAAGTTCAAAGGCAAGGAGCGAGCTCGACAGCAGCCCCGCGCTGTCAAAGGCGTAGATTCCGCTGTTCGTGGTGTCGGTGGCCACACGGGAGCCAGGCAGACCTTCCAAGTCCAACAGGAGTCAAAACTAAGGCTTCAATGAATGTATACCTAGAGCTCCAAGTTCGTGAAGCCAGAGGTGGCGCTATGCAGAATTCCTAAACCCTAAACCCTTAAAAACTTCCAGGCATGCACTGAGCTGTCGATGTCGTGCAAACCATGCATGCAACTAGCGCCGGTTGAAAATGTTGCACCGATATAGGGGCCTTAATTAGAATAGGGTTCCTTTCAAGGGTTCCTTAAAGGGCTCTACAGGGGATCTATAGTAGGGTTCCATAGTTAGGCTGCCAAGCAGAAAAGACCGAATTACCCGCTACCCTTGTGGACTTTTACGCTACAGGGCTCGACATCGACAGGTCAAAGCGTGGGCCCATGCTGTTTGCGTAGATGTCTAGCGGCTGGACCATTGGAGATGATTCCCAATAGTCTCTGTTTTGGTTTTGGCATGATATGCTCCAAAACATCTTCTAACCATAAGGCCCCTACATCATAAGTGATTCCTTATATAACCCAAAACCCAAAGCCCCTAAACCCTAAACCCCTAAACTCCTAAACCCTAAACCCTAAAGATCCCTTTAACGTGTTCAAAAGTAGGTCTCTCCATCATAAGTGATTCCTTATATATCCCAAAACCCAAAACCCCTAAACCCTATAGATCCCTTCAAAGTGGTCGAATTTAGGTCCCGGGCCCAAAAACCAAAACCCCCAAACCCTATAGATCCCTTGAAAGTGCTCGAACTTAGGTCCCTAAATCCCTAAACCCAAACCCCAAAACCCCTAAACCCTAAACCCTAAAGATCCCTTTACCGTGTCCAAAAGTAGGTTTCCTTATATATCCCAACGCCCAACGCCCAAAACCCCTAAACCCTAAAGTGCTCGAACTTAGGTCCCGGCCACTGAGGAGCTCCGTTTCACCGCAAGACTCCGCAGCTGTGAGCGCATCGCCGGCCCCGAGACCCACACCTGTCGAACTTCGGAACGTTTGCTCTAAAGGGATCCTTGAAGGGTTTAGGCTTTAAGGGTTAAGGGTTTATAACCCTAAACCCTAAACCCTAAACCCTAAACCCCTAAACCCCTAAACCCTAAACCCCTAAACCCTAAACCCCTAAACCCTAAACCCCTAAACCCTAAGGGTTTAGTGAAGTTTAGGGTTTAGGGGTTTTTAGCTGTCGACCTTCGGAGAGATTGCTCTAAAAGGGTCCTTTAAAGGTTCCTGTAAGGGTTCCTTTAGGGGTTTAAGCTTTGGGGGTTCCTTGAAAGGCTCCATTTAAGGGATCTACAGGATTTCAGGGTTTCGAGATTCTAGGGTTTAGGGTTTAGGGTTTAGGGGTTTAGGGATTTAGGTTTAGGGCTTAAGGAACAAAGGGTTTAGGGTTTAGGGTCTTAGCGCTTGAGGGAGTTCCTCTAAAGGGATCCTTTAAGGGTTCCTTTAGGAATTCTCTGAAAGGTGATAAGGTTTGGGGTTTAGGGTTACAAGGTCTAGGGCTTAGGGGTTTAGGATATCGGTTTCTAAGGAATTGTCTATGGTATCGTGGCCGAAATAGTTAGAAGAGCTTTTGGGGCATACGAGCGTTCCCGGGGTATGGGGCCTAGGGTCGATCCGGGGGTTTGGAATTGAGTCTGCTGATTTGAACCTGTACATTTCGATAAGATTTGGCTCCAGTATGTTCCAGTTATCTGCTATTTCAGGGGTTTGATTAGGGATCATATCCTACTATGTTGTAGGCGTTTAACGATTCTGTTCAGGGTGTCTTTAAAGTTTGGGATTTTGGGTTGGTCCCAATTTGTTGGGTCTTAGCAATTCTTGTTGAAGGGTCTCATTTCTATAGGGATTGAAGGTGGGTAGGCATTTTGCCTTGGCGTCTCTTCACAACGCTTTAGTAAGATGTTCGCTGTGGACTGTGGGTGTATTCATGCTGGCTCGGCCATGATGAGGAAACCGGCTCGGGTTGGTATCTTCCCCTTCCAATACCAGGGCCCCCAAAAAGAACATAAGCAAGAATAAGGTCAGGGATGTCCAATATAAACCCCCTATAAAGAAGCCCAATAAGGTAGGGACATCCCTATAAAATGCTTATGTTTATGTGCTTTTTGAGTCCCTAAAATACTAGCAGCGGAAACCAGACAATACAGTACGTGTCACGGCAACTGAAATCGAACCTGCGGGGGGCCGCTCACGCGAACCGCAAACTTGTAACCCCTGAACCCTGAACGTATAAATTTAAAAGGTAGTGTTGATGATATAAATCCTGCATTACCTTAAGGACCCTGAACTATGAGAATTATGGTATATTCCTTATTATGGGTCATGCAGGACATATATCATCAACCGTAGTAAATACGAAATCCTAACTAAAACGCCCCGCACGTCCCCTGAACCCTGAACGTATAAATTTAAAAGGTAGTGTTGATGATATAAATCCTGAAATACCTTAAGGACCCTGAACTATGAGAATTGTGGTATATTCCTTATTATGGGTCATGCAGGACATATATCATCAACCGTAGTAAATACGAAATCCTAACTAAAACGCCCCGCACGTGAAAGCCCGCGAGGATGTTCGGAGCATGCGCAAGAAGCGACCCCAACCGCCAAACTAAAAGCCCCTACCTATCCCTAAGGGTCCATGTACCCATATAGAGATACATGGGCCTTCATGTACCTATATAGGGACTACATTAAGGCCAATGTTCATACTATATGAGTACATGGACCCTTAGGGTATAGTCTCCGATGTAGTTCCTTTTTTGGTTAACCAGGTTTATGCTTAGGATCCTATAATAGAGATTTTGGTTAACCAAAAAAGGAACTACAATGGAGACTATAGGTAGACCATCTGGGGCTTGAGGCCTTCAGGGCTCAGCGCTTAGTGCCTGAGCGTTTAAAACTGCAGGGTTTCGCATGTACGGCTTAGGGCCCGCACCTATAACCCCTAAACTCCTCGACCACGAATGGGAGTTTCCGAAAACTACCGGAAGCTTACTTTGGGGTCCTCATAATCAGTATCCTACTATTTAGGGTACTATGTTCGGGTCCCCTATTTTCGGAAACCCCCAGATCTGAAACCAGAAGAGTTGGACCACTAAACCCAAAGGCCCCTCCAAAGCTGCGCCACAAGAACGCTAGATTACAAAGCCCTTAATCATAGGGATCCTTAGGGGTGTAGGGGGAGGGGGGGTAGGGGGCCTTAAGGCCAATAATAAGGACTAATAAGGCCTATTTAAGGAAATATAGTCCCCTACACCCCTCCCCCCTACACCCCTAAGGATCCCTATGACTTAAAGCCCAAGGCAAAAGAACAAACGCCCTAAATACAAAGATTATGAGCCATACTGTTGATGATATAAATCCTGCATGACCTTAAGGACCCTAAACTATGGGAATTATTCCTGATTATGGGTAATGCAGGGTTTATTTCATCAACCGTACACCGCTGGCCTTGCACGTTTGCCAGCTGGCAAGGCTGACCCAGGAAACCTCATCTTCGTAGGGTTTAGGGTTTAGGGGTTTAGGGTTTAGGGTTTAGGGGTTAGGGGTTAGGGTTTAGGGTTTAGGGTTTAGGGTTTAGGGGTTAGGGTTTAGGGTTTAGGGTTTAGGGTTTAGGGTTTAGGGTTTAGGGTTTAGGGGTTTAGGGTTTAGGGTTTAGGGGTTTAGGGGTTTAGGGGTTTAGGGTTTAGGGTTTAGGGTTTAGGGTTTAGGGTATACACTACTTAGAGGCCCAGGGGACTTAGTAAGTCGGTTATAAGTAGGGTTATAATTAAGGTAACTCCATTTAGGGTACTTATATCCCTACTTATAACCTACATACTAAGTCTCCTGGGCCTCTAAGTACCATTATAGAATCAGGTCCCCAAAACCATGATAGGGATGGACTTTTGGGGCCTAATTCCATAATAGTAATGTATATGGACCCTCTGGGTTAGCATGCACCCTGAAACCTAAACGCCAAACCCTGAAAGTACCGGTATAGTTTTAGAAACCTAAAACCCAAACCCTTAAAGGACCCTTGTAGAACCCAAGCCGAAACCGTAGTAGAGGAACGTTAGGGGTTTGGTAGGGACAAGCAGCTTGTACCCACGTCTTTCAATTCATCTAAGACACGGAACCGACAAACAGAACAACATCACAGGTCTGCTCCCGCAACCCGAGGTTTAAGGTTCAGCGGCTTGGCTTGTGGGGTAGTTCGAAAATGAACAATCAAGCACCCCACAGCTGAGGAATATTCCTCTTCCACAAGGCATAACCGTAAGTGGCATGGACCTTTAGGGTCTATTTGACAAATCCTGGTGGGCTTAGTATGAACAGAGCAGCAGGTCAAAGAGTTCTTTGAAGCACCAACGGCTCGCAAGGGTGCGGACCCTACTGCTGTTGCTATTGCTGTTGTAAAAACATAAATTCACTGGGCTGGAGACGCAGGCTGGGATCTAGACAAGGGTCCGGCAGTTCTCAGCCGGAGAGCAGGTTGCTTAACTTAAAAGACCCCTTAAAGGATCCCTTAGAAGCTGCCCCCACCCTGTAATAGTGACTATAATGATTATATGAGGGCCCTATTATATTCCTATTATACCACTATTACAGGGTGGGGGCCCCTTCCTAAAGGATCCCTTACAAAGCAATCACCCCCTTCAGAGGAGCCCTGTGGTCAGCCGAGGAGCAGGTCGCCCTGAACCCTAGATCCTGAACCACCCCAAAACCCCAAAACTCCCTAACCCCTGTAATTACCCTTTAAGCAACCCTATAGATCCCTTTAAGGAAACCCTTAAGGAACCCCGTAGATCACCCCTTAACGGAGCCCGGCAGTTCTCAGCCGTGCAGCAGGTCGCTTGCTGCCCGCCCCGCATGCCGTCCAAGGTCAGCGACGCGACGGGGCGGCCGAAGCAGGCGCCAGTGGAGCCTCGTGGCTTTGGGGGTTCCTTGAACGGCTCCATTTAAGGGATCTATAGGATTTCAGGGTTTCGAGATTCTAGGGTTTAGGTTTTAGGGTTTAGGGGTTTAGGGGTTAGGGTTTAAGGTTTAGGGTTTAGGGGTTTAGGGTTTAAAAGCTCCATTTAAGGGATCTATCAGGGTTTCTTGAAAAGCTCCTTTAAGGGATCTAGGACCTAGTTAATGGATCTATGGGCTCGTTTGGTGTATAAAGTGGTGAAATTACCTACTTGTCGGGTATCATGAACAACTAAAGGCTAACCTTTTTGGTTATATAGGGATTATATGGGGACTATACTACCCCAAAAAGGTTAAAGGTTACCTACTCGACTACCAGGTTTAAAGGCTCCATGAAGTTAATGGCATCTATAGGGTTTTAGGGTTTAGGGGTTCAGGGTTTAAGGCTCCACTAAATAAATGGGATCAAAAGGGCTTCTTGAACGGCTCCTTTAAGGGATCTAGGAGAAGCTGTCGGGTTCTTAAGGAGTTTAGGGTTTTGGGTCCTTTATTGAGGGTTCTATGTAGGAGAGGTTATGGTAGAAGCCAGAAAGTTGGAACATCAATATCCTCATGCCGTTAAGGTAAAGTATAAGGGATCCTATAGCACTAATCCTCCTAAGGCCATGTTCCAACTTTCTGGCATTCACTATAAAGTTTCAGGTTTCAGGATTTAGGGCTTTAGGGTTTTTAGGGTTTTGGGTGCAGGGTTTAGGGTTTAGGATGTAGGTTTATGGTTTTGGGCTTTGAGGCTTTGGGGTTTAGTGTGTAGGGTTTTTAGGAGTTAGGGTTTAGAGTTTTGAATTTAGGGTTTTGGGTCTTGGGCTTAGGTCTTGAGGATTTCTATCAGAGTTCCTTAAACGGCTCACCCTTAACCCGCGAGCTCCTTTAAAGGGATCCTGAGATTTCTATAAGGTCCAGAAAGGAGCTGCAGTTAAGGGAGCTAGAAGGAAGCCTTTTTGGGCTGTTAGGGCTTCTGCGGACCCTAAACCCTAAACCCGGGCTTTTGTGGCGTCTAGGGCTTTTGGCGCGCTGAGGGCTTTGAAGTCCTTGAGGTTGAGAGCCTGGGAAGACTCCTTCAGGAGTTCCACTAGGCCACAGGCCAAAGTTTAGGGTTTAGGGTTTAGGGGATTAAGGTTTAGGGTTTAGGGGTTTAGGGTTTAGGGGATTAGGGTTTAGGGTTTAGGGGATTAAGGTTTCTCCCCTTGTTCTTGAGTAGCCGCTTTGTAATAAGGGTAGCCATTTTCCTACTACTTGGTGTCAACAAGAGAACCCAGCAAGAAAAAGTGCAAAAGGGTACAACTCAGGAACCTAGCTTCCCTACGCAGGCAGACAAAGTGCGACTGTGGAGGAAGGGTGGCCGAAAACTGACGGTTTCCTTCGTGCTCGAAATTGGTAATTAGGCTTAGCACACCGAAGCATACGCAGACAGTCGGAGGATTGAAAGCTTTACTTTCCCAAATACACTGGCCAGAGTACACTCACCTAGTCTGTCTCGGCTTGAAACTGACTTGCCGTAGGGACTAGCTCGATACGCTCTTCTCTAACCAGCTCCGAACACAGCTTGAGTTCGTTGCTTTGGGCTTTGTATTTCTTCATTGCTTTCCTTAGCAGAACCTAGGCCTTCATATGTAGAAGTACTGTGAAAACCTGCGGTCCTTCTGATTGCTCTCACCTGGAATGGATTATCTTCAGCATCGACTGTATTAGATGAACAGTTATAAGGCCATGCAGAAGTTTGACTCTGATGCCAGCGCCATACATGTGCAGTTTGTAAGATGTTGAGCACCGCACAGCCTTCCAGCATCTAGTTACCTTTTACCAACCGTTAAATGCATCAGGAACTTTGATGGCTGTCTTACATCTGCGGCTTGTGTGATTTCATGTCCGACATATGTAGGCTTCGCTTATGTTCTTCTTCAGTCTTATGGTTCTTCTTGGATAGGGTTCTTCTTCAGAATTAGCCCCGACCTCGCTCATAATTCCTGAATTTGCTTAAAACACCTCAAGCACACAATCAAGAACATATTTTTTGAATGTTTTGGAATTTTTCCGACTGTTTGGGTCTTGTTCGGAATTTTAGCTAAAAATCCCAGCGATTTGAAAGAATTGTTCGGAATCTGCTTCTTGGCTGCAAAGGCCACTGAACAAGTACCCCCCATTGAAGAAACACCATATGACTGTCAATGATATGTGCTCTTTTCATCTTGTACCATCGGCATTTTTGACAACAGTGTGAGCGTTCGCAACAAAGTAACCACATTAATTCCTTGAGGCACAACGCGAATTGCGCTGACACTGCTTCTTTGAAACATGGGTGCTTGGACCATTTCCGAAGAAGAGGTCCATGCCTCAAGGACACAACTACAATGCTATAACGCTAAGATACCCCTGGACTGGCCCATAATTCTAGGGTTAAGGGTTTGGCCGAAGCAAGGGCTTTCCTAATTTCGAGCAGAGGAGCATGGACAAAGGCACATGAGGTATGTGCCCGGATCCACATTCACCTCTGGCCACTGCGCCGTGTAGTTTCCTGGGCAGGGTAGAACCATCAGAACCATTCACACACAAACACACAGTGATATGCATAGTACTATACTGTTATTGTTATTATTCTGTATGTATATATTTCGACATAGAAACACACAACTGCAGCTAAGGGCTTAGGGACTAGGGTTTGGGTTCTAAGGCTTTATACGTCTACATGTCTTTATACATACGTCTAGATATAGCTGTATATGTATATATATATATATACATATGTCTATATAGATGTATATGAATACATGTACACATGTGATTTAGAAAACCCTAAACCGAACCAGTAAGCCCTAGACCCCTGGAGCCTAAGCCCCTCCATGCATGCTCAACCCGTTGCCCCACACCCTGAACCCGCAGTTCGCCATCTCATAGAAACCTCATTGTGCCCAGGAAGAAAAGAACTCTAAAAGGAACCCGTGTAGTTCCTGGAAAAGGAACCCTTAAAAAGAAACTCCAAACCCTAAATTCTAAAACAGGAACCCAAAACCCTAAACTCCAAACCCACGAACCCTAAGCAAGCCCAGGAACCCTATTCCCTAAACCCACGAATCCCAACATCCTAAACCTCAAACCCTAAACCCGCGAACCCTTAAACCCTAAACCCATGAACCTCCAAGGAGGAGCCAGGATTCGGCGAAGAGACTATGATATACTACTGTGTAGGGTTTAAGGTTTTGGGTTTTAGGGTATACATAAACACACTAGACCTAAGAGTAACCTAGGAATAAAAAGGGTGCCCTTTTTGGTTTAAAGGGGTTTATAAGGGAACCTAAGCCTCAAAAAAGGGAATAAGGGCCTACTCTGGGTCCCAGCACAATACTAGGACTCCAAATAGCCCAAAGTAGGTACTATTTATAGACTTTAGACCCCAAAGTAGGTACTATTTGTATACTTGGAGTCTTAGGGATTGCCTTTCAGGTTCATGGGCAGGTATTACTTAAAGGATCATGGGACTTAGTAACTGGGGTTATTATTAGGGTAACTATACATAAGGGCCTACTCTGGGTCCTAGCACAATACTACAACGGAGACGCCAGGATTCGGCTCAACAACATCGGGGCTGTTGCGGCTGTCGGCGCGGCACACGTCCTCGGTGCTTCTCTCTTCCGCATCGAGGCCTACAGTTTAGGGGGATGAGGGTTCTGGGGTGCCTTGAAAGGGCTCTCAGGGATCTACAAGGATTCCGAAATCAGTCGAATAATGTTGTGGTGCGAATGTTCTGCTATACTTAACGGGCATTACAAGGAGACATCAAGATTCAATATGTATTCTGAGCCCTAAAGCAACCCTGCAAGCCAAAACATCTCCAAACCTTCCTACACCCCTCGGACCCCAAACCCTATACCAAGCCCGAAGCCCTAAACCCTAAACCAAAAAACCCTAAACCCTAAACCCAAAAGCCCTAAACCCCAAACCAAAAGGCCCTAAACCCTAAACTCCGGCCCAAGCCCCGCCGCCAAACCATGGACCCTATGAAGCTTGCCATGAGCTCGAGGACCATTCCCACTTACGCTCGCGTAAACCTTCTAGACCTGCAGTAAACCTTAGAAGCTGCCCCCACCCTGTAATAGTGACTATAAGGATTAGATTAGGGCCCTATTATATTCCTATTATACCACTATAACAGGGCCCTAATATAATCCTATATAATCCTTATAGTCACCATTACAGGGTGGGGGCAGCTTCTAAAGTAAACCCCTTAAAGATCCTCAGGGGCCCTGATAATAACCCTAGTTACTACAGTAGAAGCCAGAAAGTTGGAATATCATTACCGTAATCCCTTGAAGGTAAATTATAGGAAACCCTAAACCCTAAACCCTAAACCCTAAACCCTAAACCCTAAACCCTTTCTGGAGTTCCCTTTAAGTCCCATGATCCTTAAGCCCGGGACTCCCACAGATCCCTTTACAGATCCCTTTAAAGAACCCTTTACTTGGAGGGTCGGGGGACTTAGTAACTATAAGGGGTTCCTTTATAGGGTTCCTTTAAAGGGATCTATAGGGATTCTGTAAGGGTTTAGGGTTTAGGGGGCTTAGTAATTGGTTATTTTCGGGACTTATAAGTACCATCACCCCAATTAGGGTCCCGTTTAGGGTACTTATAAGTCTACTTACTACCTACTTACTAAGTCCCCCGACCCTCCAAGTAAGGAACCCTTAAAAGTTACTAAGTCCCATGATCCTTTAAGGAGGGAGGGGCCCTGGGGTGGGACCAGGGTCAGGCTTCGGGTTCCTTTAAGGGTTCCTTGATGTGTTCCTTTACAGTAAACCCCATAAAAATGGAAACCCTTTAGAGGGATCTATGAGGGTTCCTTTAAAGGGAACTGTAGGGTTTAGGGGTTTAGGGGTTTAGGATCTAGAGACCTAGAGTAAACCCCATAGAGTTGGAAACCGGATTGAGGCCAAATAGTGCTGGGATTCCCTATACATTACTCTTAAGGATTGAGGCTATGGAGTTTCCAACTTTCGCGCTTATACTGTAAGAGCAACCTACGAATAGAAATTCCCTTTTTGGTTTAAAGGGCGTTAGAAGGGAACCTAAACCTTAAAACAGGGAATACGGGCCTACTCTGGGTCCTAGCCTTCGTAAAACCAAAAGGGTCCAAGTACCCGTGTGGTAGGCTCTTAATGGCTATTTTGGCCCCCAATGCATAGACTGTGCTGTCACTCGGACCCTTCCGGAAAATTCTAAACCCGAGCGGCAAAATCTGAACCCTTCTCAAGGCCCCGAACCCTAAACCGGAAGCTCCTGGCCGGAAATCTAACCTTTGCCGCGCTCTCAAAACGGTGCCGGGGTCACTAAAACCCTAAAAACCTGGCTTCTGAAGCCTCGCAGATTCCCACAGGCTACAATATTCATCAAGGAATATACCTTAAATTATAGTAGGATCCCTAAAATGATAATTAAGAAAACGTACCTTAAATTATAGTAGGATCCCTAGAATGATTTCAGGTATAATCCTTAATTCCGGGATATCGGAGTCAAAGGGTTCCTCAAAGGGGAAAAGGAGGGACCCTTAGTAAGGACCCCTAGGTATATACCCTTAATATAGCCATTATGTACCCATTATATAGCCCATTATAGGGTAGGGGTCCCCATTAAGGGTCCCTCCTTTTCCTCTTTGAGTTCCGGGAACACCCCACACAAAACACCTAATTCGCGGCACACCCTTTAAGAGCCCATGGAAGGGTTGATGATATAAAACCCTGCATGACACATAATAAGGAATATACCATAATTCCCATACTTTCGGGTCCTTAAGGTAATGCAGGATTTATATCATCACCCTAAACCCTAAACCCCAAAACCCTATAGATCCCTGAAAAGTAAACCCTCAAAGGTACCCTTATAGATCCCTTTAAAGGCACCCCAAGGATTTATATATCATCAACCGGAGGGCCCTTCCACCATCCTGCAAAAACTTGTAGAAGCCTATTGAGCACGCAAAAAGGGACCCTAGCCCAAGGGAGCAAAGGACCCCATGATTACGTACTCGGTTATAGTAGTTTAGGGTTTAGGGTATAGGGTTTAAGGTTATGTCGGGTACTATGTCGGAGAGTATATGATAATTTGGTACTTGAACCCTTAGGGCTACAAAAACGTCTATAAAACCCAGCTGCGCACACGACCGCAAGGCCAACGCCACGGTGACTTCGCCACCCGAGGACAAGCGCCGTCCAGACCATACGCGGTCCGCAACAAAGCGAACTAAGTCGCCTGCAGTGCAGCGAGAACTGATGACACGAATTATCAATATGTATCGCGTTCGTGTTTGTTGATATGCTATGTTGCTTTTGTTATCTTGTCTTTCTGTGGTTGCTTGCTTTGCAGCTTTCTTTGGAGCTTGCTCTTGAATTCGGGGCCTCGTGTTACCTGTTCTTTGACACAAATCTACTTTTGCGCAGGAGTTTTGGGCATCCGGGTGCAAATGAAAAAGATTAAGGCTTTATAAGGGTTCTACGAGGGCCTACATAATGGCTCTGTGGGGCTTGTAACGGGGTTTAGCTGGAGGTCTAGGCTGTAGAGTTTGGGGCTTCAGCTTGAAAAGCCTCAACCCTCCACACCAAAAACGTCTCAGATGACTGGGCTGTATTAACTTTCTTGCGGGTCTGGGTTTAGGGGTATAAGAATAGTTCTGAACCTCTTTTCAAGACCTTGCACTCCATAAGTGTGCTGAATCTGCTGCTAGTAGGCTACTAGGGTGAGAAGAGTAAGTTAAATGGTTCCTTGAAAGGCCCCTTGAAAGGTTGCTTGGAACCCTAAACCCTCAACCCTGAACCTTGAAAGGGCTCTGTTAGGTTCCAAAAACGGGGGTCTGGGTTCAAAAGGTTCCGAAACCAAACCCAGCCCCGAAGTCCACACTATAGGGACCTTAATAATTAGAATAGGGTTTGGGGGTATATTATACTATACTTATAAGAAGGAACCCCCAAAAAAGTAGAGGTAAATATCAAGGCACCGTTTTTACATTAGGGGCGAATGCAAAGAAATGAAGCTGTATGTACGTGACTCTCTGTATATGTGTGTGTATATATATACACACACTACAGCGCTTTGTATGCGTGTGCATGTGTATAAACAGATAGATGTACATGTGTGCTGTTGAAAGAAGTACTTGGGCATATGCGTAGTTCCGAAAAACCCGAGCCCCAAAAATCTCAAGCCCGAAAATCCAACGGCCTGATATAAACCGAAATCCTGGATCCTTTCAGAACCTACAGATATCCTCAAGCAATTAGCTGAGGCTTCTTGTCTCGAGTCGAGCGTCTCTGTGACAAGTCCACTGTGCAAGGTCGCCCACGTACGCAATTGTCCTGACAACTGGGCTCTTGTCAAAGAAGTTTTGTCTCGTCATGTGAGGGTTTCGTAAGGGATCTAGCAGGGCTTCTAAACGAATGCATACAAAGTTCGAACTTTCTAATATAGAACAAGTATATAATGCCAGAAGACATTCAAGGTCTCGCATTGGCTATCTAAGGGTTGAGCCTGGGGTTCGAGATGTTTGGATCAAGTCAATTGTTACATTAATTTAGGATGATTAGTGCTGGCATCCCATATACTTTACCTGAGGAGCACAAGGTAACTGACGGGTAATGCCAAGCACAAACCCAAGAAACTTGACCGATAAGTGCAGAGTTCAAGTTTCAAGTTTCAGAATTGAATCTGGCAACCTCAATAAAGAGTTCTTGGAATAATCATCAACCCCTAAACCCTAAACCGTAAACCCCTAAACCCTATTAATCCCGAAACCCTAAGCCCTAAAACCCTAAACCCTCAACCCTAAGCCCTAAACCCTGAACTCCTAGGGGCGTAAGAGGAAAGGGGTACGTTGGCGGCCTTCAACCCCATCCCTTGTAGTATCCTTAAGGGAGGGGGGTCCAAGGGGGGTATATAGCCTAGTGAACCCTAATTCTCCCAAGAACTCCCAAGGTTCCCTTACAGTCCCCTAAGGATCCCTTATACCCTCCCCCCTTGAACCACCCTCCCTAAACCCTAAACCCTAAACCCTAACCCCTAGGATCCTTGTTATAAGGACCCTTTTAAAGGAACCCTTATTATAGTACCCTTATGGTCACCCTCCCTTAAGGATCCTATAACCATCCCCAGCGTTTCTCGGGGTGCTGGGTCTGGGGATGGCAGCCTAAACCCTAAACCTTAATAATCAGAACAGGGTTCCTTTAAAGGGGTCCTGTAAAGGGTTACTATAAGAGATCTATAAGGGTACTTTTATATATAAACCCTAAACCCTAAACCCCTAAACCCAAAAAACAGGGTTTTGGATTTAGGGTTTGGGGTTTAGGGGTTTCCAGTTTAGGGCTTAGGGTTAAACCCCTAAACCCTGAATCCTTAACCCCTAAACCGTAAACCCTAAACCTTAATGATTAGAACAAGGTTCCTTTAAATGGGTCCGGTAAAGGGTTACGAGCCGACTATGTACATACATACATACATACATACATACATATATATATATATATAGATATGTATATCATACAAATAAATGATGTATTAATGTTTATATATATAAAGATATATATATATATATATATTGATAATACTGTAATTCAACTAACTATATTAATATATATATATATATATATATATATATATACATACATACATATACATATACATATATATATATATATATGTTATTGTATTGGAGTTATGGAATAGTAATAGAATAGAAGAGCTGTGCGCCACCCTTGTTTTCTCAATCTCATGCTCAGAGGGGCCAGGGGCCGCGGTTGGTCAAACTCTGCTTGTTTTCTCAAGCTGAGAGGGGCCAGGGGCCGCCTGAGAGGGGGCCATTGGCCCCGGCCCGTCAAAATCGATGTCCTCTGCCTTGAGCGGCTCTGCCTCCTCCTTGTCATCACTTGGAGGGTCGGGGGACTTAGTAAGTAGGTAGTAAGTAGACTTATAAGTACCCTAAGAGGGATCCTAATTGGGGTTATGGTACTTATAAGTTTCCAAAATAACTACTTACTAAGTCCCCCGACCCTCCAAGCATCTTCCTTACACTTCAAAACTTCAAGGGTTGTGCCAGTGGCTGACTCAAACAAATAAACCCTAAACCCCTAAACCCCTCAACCCGAAACCCTATACCCTCACAAGACGAATCGACGGCCTCTCTGTCAGGGCCTGGGTTCTAGGGTTCAAGGCTACAAATGTTTAGGGCTTATTGCTTCAGGGGTTTAGGGTTTATACGGTTTAGGGTTTAGGGCTTAAGGTTCAGGGTTTAGGCACGTTTAGGGTGAACGCCACCGGCCCCAATGCAGCCGTCCCATCATGATGTGGAAAAGAAGCCCAGGCAAACGCTCCGTACCGCGCAACTCCGTCAAAAGCACCAGCCTAAACCCTACACACCTCATCTTTACTGCCCTGAACCAAACCCTAAACCCTAAACCCCTAAACCCTAATCCCTAAACGCCTAAACGCCTAAACCCTGAACTCCCCGTCTTTGCAGCTCTAAACCCTGAAGCCTTCGTCTTTGCAGTCGTAAACCCCCTCTTGGAGGGTCGGAAGACTTAGTAAGTAGGTAGTAAGTAGACTTATAAGTACCCTAAAAGGGACCCTAATTGGGGTTATGGTACTTATAAGTCCCTAAAATAACCAATTACTAAGCCCCCTAAACCCTAAACCCTTACAGAATCCCTATAGATCCCTTTAAAGGAACCCTAAAGGAACCCCTTATAGTTACTAAGTCCCCCGACCCTCCAAGATGAAACTCTTAGGTCCCAGATCCCATTGTAGTATCCTTAAGGGAGGGAGGTCCAAGAGGGGTATATAGCCTAGTGAACCCTAATTCTCCCTAGTACTCCCTAAGGTTCCCTTACAGTCCCCTAAGGATCCCTTATACCCTCCCCCCTTGAACCACCCTCCCTTAAGGATCCTATAATCCCAACACCCCTGACTAAAAAAAACTAAAACCCCTGAAGGGGACTTAGTAACTTAAAGGGTTCCTTAAAGGGGACCTATAAAGGGATCTATGGGACTTTAGGGTTGTAAAGGAGTTTTAGGGTTTAAAGGATCATGGGACTTAGTAACTAGGGTTATTACTCGGGTAAATTATGCTTATAACCCCAATTTAACCTTACTTACTAGGTCCAATGACCCTCCAAGTACATGCCCAAAGCGACCCTTAAAGCTCTGAAGCCCTAAAGCTATAAGGGGCCAAAATGGTTAGAATAGGGTTTTGGGGTCCATTATGCTATACTTACAAAAAGGAACCCCCCCAAAATAATATCGATAATTATTGAGGTCCCTATAGCAACCTACAACCCAAGAACTCATGTGCAACCGACTGCCTGCGGAGGACCGCCAGAAGCCCCCTCGTCCTGCGATATTGATTGTTTCCGTTAGTTGCTTTCCCTAAACCCTAAACCCTAAACCCTAAACCCTAAACCCTAAACCCTAAACCCTAAACCCTAAAGGGTTCGTCGCTTGTGTTTTCGGTCCGCTGTTTTGTTGCAGAGCTTGGAACTGAGGGCTTTCGGTGGTTCAGGGTTTGGGTCTGCCAGGACCCCCCAAGGGCCCTTTAATAGAGTCCTTATGACCCTTAATAGTGGGTATTTGGGATATATTAGAGGGCACTTGGGGGGTCTTGGTGGGGGTTGCGGGTTTAAGGTATCTGTATGGGTTTTAGGGATACTGCTGATGGACAAAATCCTGCATGACCCATTACAAGGAATTATAGATCCCTTTAAAGGCGTCCATCAACCGTATGAAGTTTAGTTGCTTTTGGATGTGTTGAAGAGCTGTCGGATGGAGAAATCGAGTTTTCTGGTGCAGCTAACCCAAGGAATGCGCACACACACACACAACCCCTAAACCCTAAACCCTAAACCCTAAACCCTAAACCCTATAGGGTTTAGGGTTTAGGGCCAAGGAGCCCCACATGGGCTCACCCAGAGCTAGGCCTTAGAGAAGTCTAATCTCCCGAAACCCTCTACCTCCAAAACCTCAAACCATCACACCCGGTCTGAAATCCGACTTCCCATGTTCCTAAACCCTGAAATTAGATTGAATTCCAAGGTAGCCCTTAAACCCTTTGAAACCCGTCCAACATCCCAAAGAGTGGAACCCCTAATAACACCGCAGCCTTTTCAAAAACAAATCGATGTGAAACTTGCTCTAGCCAAGGTTTGCAGGAGAAAGGGAATAGCCACCCTGTCCCCTGGCCCCCCTAGCCCCCCCAGGAGAAGCTTCGCATCTTGAGCCTGTCCTGCAGGACTAAAGCCGACCGGGATGAGAAGGTGGAACGATCTGCGGCTGTTACCTGAAGCGATCTGAACCACTACGGTTGGTGCTATAAATCCTGCATTGCCTTACGGACCCTAAACTATGGGAATTATGGTATATTCCTTATTATGGGTCATGCAGGATTTATATCATCAACAGTAGGATGCCCAGCAACCTAGGAATAAAAAGGGCTCCCTTTTCAGTATTGGGTAACTTTATAAGGAACCTGGGACTACAAAAAGGGAAGAAGGGTACTAATTACTGGGCATCCTACATCAGAATAGAGAGCTGCGGTATCTTTTGGTATAACGTTATTGTAAAGGCAAAGAATGGAACATCATTAGCTGGATGCCCCTTAAAGAAAATGTATGTATAGGAATCCCAGCACCAATCATCTTAAATACATGTTCCGACATTCTGGGTCCCACTTTTTAATAAAGAAGCCTAGGGACACATACCGCAGCAGAATCCTGAAATAATCTGTAGGATGGTGTTGGATTTAGGATCACCTGGGTTACTAGCTGGTCCGACCCTTGTATTACCAAAGCTGGGTTCCTCATATCATAATAATGAGGTCCTACGTTTAAAACGGAATCCCTTGGCCTCGTCTCGAAATAACATAGTCTAAACTCTTACGTCTAAAGGGTTTGGGATACAGGGTACGGTTGATGATACAAATCCTGCATTACCCATAATAAGGAATATACTACAACTCCCATAGCTTAGGTCCCTTAAGGTAATGCAGGATTTATATCATCAGCCGTATGTTGAATCGCAGCCTGCCTCGTGAACCCTAGCGATCCCGACATCCTAAGCCTTGGGACAGAACTTGTGCACGGCATTTGGTCGTGCGTGCTTGGGAGTTTTCAGCGTTGGGAGGTCAGGGTTTACAGTAGAAGCCCAAAAGTTGGAAACCCCATAGCCTCAATCCTTAAGAGTAATGTAGAGGGAATCCCAGCACTATTTGGCCTTAATCCGGTGAGTGTCCCATAGGGGCATTAACAATTAGAACAAATTTTTGGGGCCCATTATAGTTTAGGGTTCAGGGTTTAGGAGTTAGGGTTTGGGGCTTAGGGGCTGGGCCCCCTTCCTAGGGTTTCTTCGTTGCTTGGGCTCTACGGTTAATGATATGAATCCTGCATTACCCATAATAAGAAATATACTGTAGTTCCCATCGGAACAAGGTTTTGGGGTCCATTATACTATAACTATAATAAGGAACCCCAACATACTGCTCGTAATCATTTAGGCCTCTATGTTCCTCCCTAAGGATCCTGGTGTTACCTTCAGATCCTGAATCCTCTGCCTTAGCGTCGAAGCCTCACCCGAAAACCCAGGACGTACACCCGACTTCATGCACGCAGGAACCACTTCTACTTGCTTGCCAGATCCTTATGATCCTCTAAATCCAAAACCACACACCACATAGCTGGGATTGACATTAAGGGCTAGATGAGAGTATCTTACAAATAACATCCAACTGCTACAGAGCCAGGCAGTATGCAACACATCTCACCCAAAAGCCTGAGTTCATAAACCCTAGTTAGTCCATCCCTCCAACCTCAACCCACAAATCTTTATGGAAACCTTGTAGAAAGGAACTTTTCGGTTACCTGGCAGGCACGCTTATGGCGACCCTCATTTGGCCAAAACCCTACATATCCACTACACCCCCCACCTCGAAACTCAAGCCCCAAACTCTTGAACCTGGAAAAGCCGACAACACGTCCGCCCAAAGGTACAGCCCCCAACTCTGAACCCTTAGCCTGTAGAAACCCTTAGGGTCGCCCTGAACGGAACCCTAAGACCTGCTGCTTTTTTGGAACGGGTGGTCGGGGCTTTACCCAACCCTAGGACAGCCTAAACCCGAAACCCCTTGAAGGGAACCCGCAGAGCCCTAAACCCTAAACCCTCAACCCTAAAACTCCAAAACCCTAAAGCCCTTACCCTAAAGCCCTTACCCTAAACCCCTAAGCCTAAACCCCGAACCCTAAACCCTAAATCCTATATGCCCTATAACCCTAAAGCCTAACCCCTAAATACCCTAAACCCCTAAAGCCCCCGTGGTTGCTTTCGAAGTCCAGGTCGCCTCTGACACGCTGCCCGGCAGCTGTGTGAGCCCAAAGCAGATCGATTCGTCTCCCTCCGTCTCTGAGTCCTCGTCTTTAGGGTTTAGGGTTTAGGGCTTAGGGTTTAGGGCTTAGGGTTTAGGGCTTAGGGTTTAAGGCTTAGGGTGTAGGGTATAGGGTTTAGGGTTATTGTTTAGGGTTTAGGGGTTAAGGGGTTAAAGGCGTTAGGGTTTAGAGTTAGGGTTTAGGGTTTATAGGGTGTAGGGTATAGGGGTTTAGAAGTTTAGGACTTAGGACTGTAGGGTTTAGGGTTTAGGGCCAGGGGTTTTGGGTTAGGGGTTAGGGTTACGGAAAGGGCTTTAGGGCATAGGGTTTAGGGCTCTAGGGTTTCAGGGTTTAGGACTTTCATAGGGCTTTCAGGTTCTTGTTCAAGCGTTGTTTAAAGCTTCTTGGGACGTTTGGGGCCTTCCATGTGGTGTTTAGGTTTAGCGCTTAGGATTTCGGGTCTAAGGTTCCATAGTAAAGCGTTCATAGAACTTGCAAGTGTAAGTGTTAGTGTTTCAATGCTCTTCATAAGCCCACATAGGTTTTCATAGGGATGAGAGTTTTTAGCCTTGTTATTTGGTCTCGAATTCGTGGATGCTACAGAATCTAAATGTCTGATAGAGGGGCTTAAATTGATGGGTACAGGCTTTTTGGGTTTGTTAGAAGCCGAAGAGGAACCCCAACAAACAGAATTCGTGAATATATAGGCTTCTGTGATATTGGCTTTGCTTTATGCCGGTGTAAAGTCCAATCTTTGTTTATCTGGGTTGATTGACTTCCGTCAGTGTTCGCGACTTACGTGGTCTGCATGTCTCAGCGAGTCTCAGCACATGGGCCCTGGCACCCGAAACCTGTGCAAAGGCCCGGATCCCCAACTGCCCTAAACCAGTTTGCTGGCCACGATCCCTGCACCAGGGTCCTCACCCGGAAACTTCAGTTCCCAAGAAAAAGACGAACAACGCGCTTTGAGGTTTGGGGCTTAGGAACGCAAACAAGGGAGAAGGTGCTTCTCGGCTTGATATCTTCTCTCCTGAAAGAGCACCAGCCGAGCCGGCCCAGCGACAGTGCCACTGGAGGCCTGAGTTTAGGGTTTGGAGCTTTTGTTCAAACGGGGCCTCCGGTTTGAGGTCCCCAGAAAACCTACAAACATGACTTTGCAAAGGCAATGTCCCTATACCGACTTACCCTGAACAAAGCTCAACCCTAAACTCCCCCAAACCCCGGGACCTCAAACCGCAACCCTGGACCCCCCAAAGCCCTACCTGTTGTCTCCATTGTAGCTCCTTTTTGGGGGTTACCTTACAGGATCCTTACTATATAACTGGTTAAACCAACAAAGGAACTACAATGGAGACTACAGGTCATCCCGTAAACCCCTAAACCCCCAGACCCTACATCGATCCTATGTAGCAGCGTCAGCCTCAAGACTAGCGATTGAAACCCTCTTTAGGGTCGAAGTTCGGTTTTAGGGAGTGGAGACCCAATTAGAGTTTAGGGTTTAGGCATTTGGGGATTACGGACTAAGCTTGGCCTTCTTCTTCTGCTTGGCGAATTTGGGCACTGCCTGGTCGGTGTGAGCTGCGAAGTGGAAACTTGAATTTCCGGAAGCTTCCCTCTGTATGTGGGGTCCAGGCTCTTTGCGCCGCGAAGTGCAGCAGCCACTGCGCACCCGGCGCTGAATGCGAAAAGCTGCAATGTGTCCCAAATCTTGTCTGCTTGCTCATCATCCAGCTCCGGAGCCGGTTGTCTTTTCGTCCATAGCTCGCCAAGCCACAATGAAGGCTTTTCGGTCTGCGCTGACGACCGGGCGGAGCCCCTGTCGCCTCGTCGCCCGCTCTTCCTAGCGGCAGCGGGGCCACAGCCCGCAGCAAAGCCCTCTCCAATAAATGCTTCTGTAGATTACCGAAAGATAGGATAAATCGAAACAAAAAAATGCACAATGAATTCGATTCCCGCCTGAGCTGGCACCCAAACATTAGCAGTAAAGTCTTGTGAAGATTGTAGGGGAACATGGGTAAGATCGCGGGTCTGCGAGACCTGGCAAAAGCAAAGCAGCCCAAAGCTAAAGCCCTCAAGTCATCTTGGTCCCCGAGGGAGGGGTTTGAGTCTCAAGAGCCCTAAACCCTACGCTAAATCTACATTCTCTTGATCCCGAAGCGGAGCCAAGCCGACACCCTCATCTCCAAACCCCAAACCTGAACAACCTTTATAGATCCCTTCTGAGATCTCTTTCGGAAACCTAATCCCTAAACCCCATAACTGCCAAACCCCTCCAAAAAACGAATGCAGGAGCCCTCAAGCCCTTGAAGATAGAGCTCTTTTAGAAGCTTGACAGCGGCCTTAAAAGAGCCCTTTAAGAGCAACCCTTACAGTAGCCTTCTGAGTGCCCTTCAATGCACCCGTATAGCTTTCTACTTCGAAATTTCTTAGGTAAATCAAACACGTAGAAAATCTCAAATTCTCCCATTCGCAATCTAAGGAACCTTTCCAGAACCCATATAGGAAACCCTTCAAGGAAATCTTGCGGGAACCCTAACCCTTAGAGACTAGAATCCATTTGGGCCCATCAAGGAATCATGAAAGGAACCCTTAACGGAGCCCTTGAAGAGGCCCTTGTAATCTTTCAACATGGAGCCACTCCGTAGCAGTCTGCAGACATGTCATTGTATCGGTGGTCATCTCGAAGCTTTCCTTCTGGAACAAGCGTTCCGATGGCGCTCACAAATACTCGCGCCGTAGACGACCGTCTGCTTCTGTTCTGCTTCTTGCATCTTTTCAAGATGTCCCAGCCAACTCGAGCCTGATAGAAGCAGCAAATCAAGGACCCCTTACGGGAACCCTTACTTAAACCCATATGGAGCCCTTAGACCCTAAACCCTAAACCCCTAAACCCCTAAACCCTAAACCCGAAACACCCTTAAATAGATCCCTTACACCCTTATCGGAACCTTTTGGAAGCCCGAGGAGCCTGGGCAATGTCGCTTAAAGTGACGGCGCACTGCTCGCCGGTGACCTCGGAATGTAGGGGCCCTTAACAAATAGAACAGGCCTCCTTTAAACGATTCCCTAAAAGGGGGCCCATATATTCTACTACAAGACTATAAGTATAATAAGGAACCAAAACACAAACGAATGTTAAGGCGCCTACAACACTGAAAGTATGTGTGGCCGGGTGCGAAAAGGGTTCAGAGGGAACTGTTAAGGAACTTTATTGCAAGGGCTCTATGAGAGTTTCGAAAAAAAGAGTTTAGGGTTTAGGGCTTAGGATTTAAGGCTCAAGGGCTTTGTTCTTGAATTTGCGGCTTCCGGAATTTTTCGTTGCGCGCTTCAGGAGTTTAGGGTTCAGGGGTTAGGGCTTCAGAAGTTATGTTCCAGTAGGTAGAGTAGTTTGTCTTCGGGTTTTTGAAGGCTCCATGTACGATTACAAGGGTTTAGTATAAGGGCCCAAAATCATAACTGAGGCGGAGATCCTTAAATCCAGATATCGTGTTGCAGAGCTTGCAAAGATCGAACAGCTGTGCGCATGTATTCCAAATAGGACCGCGAGGGAATGGTGTCGCAAAATGCTGCCAAGCTCTACAGAACAGTACGTGAACTGTCTATGAAGGATCCTTGTATGAACCTCAAATAGCTTTGGACACTTGTAGAAGCCTTAATGGTGCCCTTTACAGGAACCCTAACAAGAAGTGAAGTGATGAGCGTACGTGTGTTTCTTTGGCTTTAAATTCACAACACGAACCTAGAAGAGAGGTGTGTTGCAGAAAAAGAAAAGAAGAGAGCACGCATTCTTTCCCTTCATTTGTCTCTCTTTCTTGTCTTTGAAGCATCCCTTTAAGCAACACATTAAGTAGCACTAAGAAACCTTGGGCTTGCTCTCCCTGCCTCGTCCTCCCAGGTCAACGATCCGGCTGCCAAGATGTAGTCGTCGTTCTCCTTACGATACTTCACGGTCTACAGACTTAGATTAAAGGGTTTAGGGTTTAGGGTTCAGGGTCGAGTTAGACCGACTTGTCTTGTATCCTGTGGAACTAAAGGTTAACCTTTGGGAATATATTGGGACTACACAGGGATTATATATAGGCATATAGTAGCCCAAAAACGTCAAAGGTTACCAGTCTACTGAAGGGTTAGATTAAGGAGGTGTGACTATTAGCAGTATCAGCCCTTTCAGCTCACTATATCACTATACTAGACGGCCCTCCACGAATCAGCTCTAATTATTCAGCACCTATACCAAGCCCTCTATACCATACACCCTGTACCAGGCCCTTCAAGACATTTCGACCCTATAAAGATCGTTCTAACTCCTCAGGCCACCTGTGCTATAGAACCGCTGCAGAAACAATTGCCTTGTAGAACCTTTATGGCTTTATGGAGCTTCAAATTCTATACCCCCCTGAGAACCGTCACACAAACCAATAGTTTTGATATTGTCTTGGGTTTTATATGAACAAAAAATAGAAAGAATAGTTCCCAAGGAGACGATAGAATTGAGGTCATCAGACTGTCGAGGTCTTTTTTGTGTCAGGGCGCTGCCCCCAAAGATGACTTGGAGGTTCATGGGTGGCTATAAGTAGGGTCGTACGTCCCCTGTCCCGCTTATGACCCCACTTCTCTTAGTTGCTGAGTTCATAAGCCCCAGAAAGTGTACACGTTTAGTTTTATGGTGGGTAGTAAGTACTACCCAAAAAAGTGTAACGTGTATCCACTCATACTACTAAGCAGTGGTTTTGGGGTTCCCTCGACTCTTTAGCTCCGTATTTCATAGGGACTATCATCATCCCAGGCTCCTTAGCTCCTCCAATATCAACGGCTAGACTAAGTTATAACTACCCCTGAAGCTCCAAGTGTGCTTCACGATCGGAGCAGTGTCCAGAGCTGAATTACACTAGAATAGAAGGGCTTTCTTTTCCGAGGGGCTTTGCCGGGATTCATCATGGGAGGTCCCATATAGTAGTAGTAGTAGTAGTAGTAGTAGTAGTAGTAGTAGTAGTAGTAGTAGTAGTAGTAGTAGTAGTAGTAGTAGTAGTAGTAGTAGTAGTAGTAGTAGTAGTATAGTAGTAGTAGTAGTAGTAGTAGTAGTAGTAGTAGTAGTAGTAGTAGTAGTAGTAGTAGTAGTAGTAGTAGTAGTAGTAGTAGTAGTAGTAGTAGTAGTAGTAGTAGTAGTAGTAGTAGTAGTAGTAGTAGTAGTAGTAGTAGTAGTAGTAGTAGTAGTAGTAGTATAGTAGTAGTAGTAGTAGTAGTAGTAGTAGTAGTAGTAGTAGTAGTAGTAGTAGTAGTAGTAGTAGTGGTAGAAGTAGTAGTAGTAGTAGTAGTAGTAGTAGTAGTAGTAGCAGTAGTAGTAGCAGTAGCAGTAGCAGTAGCAGTAGAAGTAGTAGCAGCAGTGGCAGTAGTAGCAGCAGTAGCAGTAGTAGTCGTGATAGTAGTAGTAGTAGTAGTAGTAGTAGTAGTAGTAGTAGTAGGAGTAGGGCACCCTTCTAAACAGGGCCCTAGAAAGGCACCCTGATTCGGAGAACCACCTGCATAGTGTTGCGGTGCGTGACCGTTGCAGGTGCCTAGACCCGCGGCCCCTGAAGCCTAGACCGTTGAACCTTCCGTCCGTCCTTGGGCTCCTTTCCGAGCAATCAACCCTAAACCCGAACATCCCTAAACCCTAATGTAGGAACCAGATTAAGAAACCCTGGGCCGACAACCCCCAAAATATTAGGATTCATATAAGGCACCGAAATAAAGGCCCAAGGTTTCATAATCAGGTTCCTACATTACACCCTAGAGCGTTGGTCGTTTTCAGCGGCTTAGTGCCCATGCACATTGAATAGAAAGCTTGGGTCTGCAAGTTCTGGGTGCTGTGCTTAGTTACTACGTGGGTACAGCAAAATGAACCCTAAACCCTAAACCCTAAACCCTAAACCCTAAACCCTAAACCCTAAAGGTCAAGGGTCAGAAGGATAGCACATGCTCTGAGCCTGCAAGTGCGGCTTTCCAGTACCCAAACAACGCCAGCCCCCATTGCAAAGCCAAGAAAGAAACCCTAGACCTTAGAGTAACCTAGGAATAAAAAGGGTGCCCTTTTTGGTTTAAAGGGGTTTATAAGGGAACCTAAGCATCAAAAAAGGGAATAAGGGCCTACTCTGGGTCCTAGAACCTTGAAAGCTTAGTAGATCTTGTCCCTGCCCCGCAAAATATGGCAAAATATGACACCTTCGAACTTTAACCCCTAAACCCCTCAAGCCCCGTCTTATAGAATCGTGGAACAACCCTTAAAGAGCCCTGAACCCTAAACCCCAAAACACCCTAACAACCTGAAGCCTAAAGTCCCAAAATACCCTAAACCCACCCCCCACCACCCCTAGATCGCTGAATCCTAGAATCCCACGATCTGTTTTTAAGGAAAAAAACAAGCTCCTGTAGAAACCCACGATCTGTTTTTAAGTAAAAACAAACTCTTATAGAAACCCACGATCTGCTTTTAATTGAAACTAAACCAGGATACCCAGTAACCTAAGAATGAAAAGGCCTCTCTTTTTGGTATTGGGTAACTTTATAAGGAACCTAGGACTACAAAAAGGGAATAAGGGTACTACTGGGCATCCTAGTAAACTCTTATAGGAACGCACGATCTCCCAGCTTCGTAGAAGCCTTACTTGGAGGGTCATGGGACTTAGTAAGTAAGGCTCCTTAAAGGGTTCCTTAAAGGGTTCCTTAAAGGGATCCATAAGGGATCTATAAGGGATTTATAGGGCGTCTATAAGAGTTCTATAAGGAGGATCATGGGACCTAGTAAGGTTATAAGTACTCTAACTGGGGTTATAAGTTATAGTTACCCTAATAATAACTCTCCTTACTACTGTTGATGATATAAATCCTGCATGACCTTAAGGGCCCTAAACTAGGGGAATCATGGTATATTCCTTATTGTGGGTCATGCAGGATTTATATCATCAACCGTAGTTACCCTAATAATAACTCTCCTTACTAAGTCCCATGATCCTCCAAGTACAGACCCTTGAAACCCCTCTAAAGCCGAAATCTGAAACCTTAAACCCTCATGGGGTTTGAGTTTAGGGTTTAGGGTTTAGGGTTTAGGGTTTAGGGGGGGTAGAAACCTCAAGCCTGAAACCCCAAACCCTAAACCTTAAAACTAAACCCTGAACCCTAAACTTTGGCAAGCATCCGTTGCAGAGGCCTCGCCGCTATCGCAGGGAACAACTTCGACCTCCCCGAAATTGCCGGCTCTCGACCGAGCTTTAGGGGTTTAGGGTTTTGGGGTTTAGAGTTTGACAGCTCCAGGGTTTTAGGGCTTGGGAGTTTTAGGGTGTAGGGATAATTGTTTAGGTTAGGGTTTAGGATTCAGTTATTACTTCTGAAAAGGCTTCCCAAAGATGAAAAGGGTGGGAATGTGGGGGGCTTATATAAGGGTTTAAGGTTTGCAAGTTTAGGTGGGGCTTCGAGGGCTTAGGGCTCCGGGGGTTGGTGGCTCACGGCTTCAGGGTTCTAGGGATACGGTTTGGGTGCGAAGGGCTTGTTAGCTCGCTCTAAAGTTTATTAGGGTCGTGTGGCTGAGGGCTTCGTAGTTGGGAGACCCCGGGAACAGACTTATAAGGGAACACTATTCCCAGTTATTCGGACTCCTACTGCTGATGGACAAAATCCTGCATGACCCTAAGGACTCTAAACTATGGGAACTATGGTATATTTCTTATACTGGGTAATGCAGGATGTTGTCCATCAACAGTAGTTGTATATGGCTTGCGTGCAACATAGGTTGCAAGCTGCCACCAGAAAACTTCCGTCTGTGGATCGATCTGCCTCTGTTGTGCTGTGGGGTTTGCAAGGTTTAGAAACAAGGTTCGGGCGGGTGTGCCCAGCTGTTCAGCTCTGAACTGTCAGCCCCGAACTAACTTCTAAACCCGAAGGTTGCCCTAAAACCAAACCCTGATAACCCTACAACAACCAAAGACTCTACAACAACCAGTAATCCTAAATCGGCCTAAACCCTTAAACCCCAAACTCTGAACTCTAAACCCTAATCCTAGATCTTAATAAGTCTAAACCCGGAAATCGAGCACGCCTTCGCTTCGGCACGGCCACTGCCTTGGCTGTTTTCGGGATTTTCGGGCTGCAGGCTGCAGCCCCCCAAAAACCCACAAACATGGCGGGCACAAACTGCAGTATACTCCTTACTGCGGGGCAATCGCATGCCGTGGCCCTTGGCCTTTTGCTCAGCGCGAATGCCGCTAAGCTGTTGTATCTGTGTTAATTTTTGGCTTCGGAGGAAGGTGGTGTAAGGGTTTTGGGGTTTGGGGGTGTAAGCATCTAGGTTAAAGATTTGTGGCTGACCTCTGGAGCACGACTCCAAGATTTACTTGCAGTTTAAATCTCGGGCTTCAGAGTATTCTTTGTGCACTGAAACAACATGATGCCATTGCTGAATGCGGGACAGCACATACTTTTTCGAAACCTCTCGAAGCCCTAAACTCTGAGCTTTGCGAAAGCCTGTTTTACACTGTAGAGGCCTTTGTAACTCGAACATCTGGAACTCTATGGACTAGTATTGCTCATTATTCCGGCTTCCCTCAAGCCCCAAACCCCCAACCCTAAGCCCTCAACCCCTACACCCTAAAAACTAAACCGGAAGGACGACTACATCGGTTACCCTGGCACCTGGGCAGCTTGCTACTTCAGAATTACAGAGCCCTTATAATGCAACCCTTATTATACGGTCCTTGGGGTTGAAACGCCCCAGTGTACAGGCACAGGTGGTTAGGAGAGTAGTTTAGGGTTCAGGGTGTAGGGTTTAGGGCCCTTGCATAACCTACAAAGCTCCCTGTGACATATGCAACATGCACGGAAAGCGTGGTGGAAGTGACGATACACTAACACATCCCCAGCCAAACCCGAAAATGACTCCCTCCAACAAGGGTAATGATGATGGCAAGCGCAAGTACAAGCTGAACTCTGTTGGTGGTAGCGACAGTGGACACGAAAATGCGTCTGCCTAAGGATAAGCCTTTAGCTGGACACTTCTATTACGTTTCCCTTCAGGGTGTAGTGTGGAGGGGTTAAGATAGAAGCGTGCAAGGATACCAACATTATTCCGAAGGGCTCCCTAAGAAAACTGTACACCAACATACCTCAAAACTTTTGATCCTCAAGGCCCCTATCTCAGAGAACCGCCGTTTACTAGGTCCTTTATAGCCCTGAAAAGAACATGATTAAGGCCCCCCCAGAGCCTCCAAAACCCCTTAATTAAGGAATATACCTTAAATTATGATAGGATCCCTCATCTGAGTTTAAGGTATATTCCTTAATTAAGGGGTTTTGCAGGCTCTGGGCCGATTAGCCTGGCGACTCCCTCCCTCTCGCCGAGCATAGAGGAGGCAGCCACTGCCAGCAGAACCCTCCAGGGTTTCATAGCGTTGGCTACCTCAGCTGGGTTCCTTGAAGGGCTCCTTTTGAGGGTTAAGGGCAGGGTTCCTTCAAGGGCTCCTTTTAGGGTAAAGTTGCCACGGCTCAGTTCCCTTGGCAAAAAAACCCAAGCCCCCTCTAACCTGAATCCTAAACGCCACACGGAACCACAAGACCCAAAACCCTGAACCCCTAAACCCCGAAACCCTAAATCCCAAACTCTCTAAACCCCTAGACCTGAAACCCTAAAAGCCCTAAAAGCCCTAAACCCCTAGACCTGAAACCCTCAAAGCCCTAAAAACCCTAAAAACCCTCACTCCTCAGCCCAAAACTAAATTGCAACCCCCAGGCCCGAACTCCTTCACACTGAGTCCCAAGACTCCCTGCACCCTAAAGCCTCTACAGTAAACCCCATATAGGGTTTAGGGTTTAGGGTTTAGGGTTTATGCCATAAAAAATGGAAACCCTTTAAAGGGATCTAAGAGGGATCCTTTAAAGGGAACTTTAGGTTTAGGGGTTTAGGGGTTTAGGGGTTTAAGGTCTAGAGACCTATAGTAAACCCCATAGAGTTAGAAACCTGATTAAGGCCAAATAGTGCTGGGATTCCCTATACATTACTCTTAAGGATTGAGGCTATGAGGTTTCCAACTTTGGGGCCTCTACTATACTATAGGGGCCTTCATAATTAGACAACGGTTCTGGGGTATATTATACGATAACTATAATAAGAAACCCACAAAAACAGTATTGGTATTAATTTAGGCCCCTACATTACTCGTAAATCCTTGGGGTCCTTAAACTAACGGAAGGGGGTCTGAGCCGGTATGTAACTTTAGCAAATACCAGGATTTGGGCTGTAGGTTAAGGTTTCAGGGTTTAGGTTTAAGTTTGAGGGTCTGTAAGCTGAAATTCACTAGGCCCTTCCCTTAAGGATCCTGTATAATTAATTCTGGGTTCTTGTTAATAAGGCATTTAAGGTAAGTTATTGTAACAGGGATCTACAGTACATGATACGGTTTCTTTATTATGGTAACTTGACTTAAATTCTTTAACAAGAACGCAGAAGTCCAAAGAAGACCAGCAGCTGAAACCAAGCATGCCCGCATCGCCGTCGTCCTTGCAAGGGTTTAGGGTTTATTAGGGTTTGGGGTGTAGGGTTTAGGGTTGAGGCTTCGGTTCATGCCGTTTTCTAGGCTTCGTAATAAGGGTTTGAAACGGACTTGTTAGGGGGAAAATGCAGATCACCTCGCAGCCATAACCAGACATAGAAGCCCAAACAAACACCAGTACCATTCCGTAGGGCTCCTCTACTAGACTTACACTACCTGTAGAAGCACTAGAATATACACCAGCACCCTATCATATCTATGATGGCCTCTGAATATCAGGAAACCTTTGCTCCGACAGAACCTAAATACGTTAGTTAAGCCTTTCAAGGAGACCTATTCTAATTATTCAGGCATCTGTTTTGCTGATTAAGTCTCCTCCACAAACTCAAACCGTTGAAGCCGACAACCTGATACTGCCTGCGTGTCTGCATCTATATTTGCGTGATATATATATATATATATATATATATATATATATATATATACATACACATACATGTTCATATATGTATGAATATATATATATATATATACATGTGTATCTCTACGTGTGTATATAGAGAGAGGGCGAAAGTCTGTGTGTGTGTGTGTTGTGTGTGTTGGTTGTGTGTGTTGGTTGTGTGTGTTGGTTGTGTGTGTTGGGTGTCTGTGTGTGTGTGTGTGTCTGTGTGTCTGTGTGTCTGTGCGTCTGTGCGTCTGTGCGTCTGTGCGTCTGTGCGTCTGTGCGTCGGTGCGTCCGTGCGTCTGTGCGTCTGTGCGTCTGTGCGTCTGTGCGTCTGAGCGTCTGTGCGTCTGTGCGTCTGTGCGTCTGCGCGTCTGGGCGTCTGTGCGTCTGTGTGTCTGTGTGTCTGTGTCTCTGTGTGTCTGTGTGTCTGTGTGTCTGTGTGTCTGTGTGTCTGCGTGTCTGCGTGTCTGGTTGTCTGTGTGTCTGTGTGTCTGTGTGTCTGTGTGTCTGTGTGTCCGTGTGTTTGTGTGTTTGTGTGTCTGTGCGTGTCTGTGTCTGCATATGTAGGGAGACAGACAAATAGACAGATAGATGGGCAGGTAAATAAACAGATGGATAATTAGATAAGCAGGTAGGTAGGTGGATAGCTAGGTAGACAACTGCATATTTACATATCTATGTGTATATATTTAAAGACACACACACACATATATACATATATATATATATATATACATACACAGCTGTGTGTACATATGTACATGTAAATACATACATATAAATATCTATACTATATATATATATATATATGTATATATAGATATATAGGTGTAGACAAACTTACACATATGTACATATATAGGTATTGACTAAGTATATGCACTACAGATGTTTGACTGAGCTCAAGATTAGCTCGACACAGACTACAAAAAGCAGGCCATGGGTAAACACTCCACAAACTGCCACTAAGCCCAAACCCAAAAACTTACACCCAGATTCCCAGGCCATGAACCCGGGGCCCAGAGGCTTTGCGCTTCCGGATGGTACTTAAAGGATCATGGGACTTAGTAACTTAAAGGGTTCCTGGTGGGGGTTAGGGTTTAAAGGATCATGGGACTTAGTATCTCGGGTCATTACGTAGGGTAAGTATACTTATAACTAGTTGTAACCCCAATTAGAGTACTTATAACCTTACTTACAAAGTCCCATCACCCTCCAAGTTTAGCTACTACGGGTCTCAATTGGGAGTTTCCGAGAATTAGTGGTACGCGATTTTGGGGTCCTTATAATAAGGATCCTACTATTTAGGGTACTCTACTATTTGCTTAAGCACCCCCAAAAAATAAAAAATATTTTCCTTATGGGGGTAATATAGGGATTATTATTTTTATTTTTTGGTGGTTTCTTAAGCAAATAGTAGATTAAGGGCCCCCTATCTTCGGAAACTCCCAATTCGCAAACCCGACGCCCTGAACTCCCAATCCGAACTCAAAAAAGGAAAGCTCTGGAGGCCCCGAAAATCGTGAGAAAGCGCTTCTCCCAAGAACTGATAAAAGGGTCTATAAGGGTTACTGTAAGGGATCTATAAGGGTACGATAGTATAGAGGCCTTAATAATCCCATAACTCACCTTTGGCTAGTAGGGAATGGAAGAATGGTAGTAATAGTAGTGATAATTGTACCCCATTCCTCCATTCCCTCCTAACCAAAGGTAAGAGAACTGATAACTCACCCTAAGGGTCCAGTTCCTACTTGTCGGGTATCATGGGGAACTAAAGGTTAATCTTTTTTGGTTATATACGGACTATATAGGGGTTATAGGGACTACACTACCCAAAAAAGGTTAAAGATTACCTACCTTCTACTACTAGGAGTTTCTTCCGTGGGGCTACAAGGCTTCTGAGGTGGTACTTGTTCGGCCGCCACATGGGTAGTTGTCAAAATTAGGGTCCTGTTTTGGGTATCCTAAATATTAGGCGCCGTATCATAATAAGGACCCAAAAGGGGACCCTAATTTTGACAACCACCCATATGGGTGTAGGGTTCAAGGGCTCGTGCTGTTGGGGCACTTGGGCCGTTATGGATCATACATGCCCAGCATCGTTGATCACCAGAGTAGTGCTGACCATGCGAACCGAATCTTGCGTCATGAAGGTCAGTGTGAGATTCCTTGGGAAAGACAGTTAGGGTTTAGGGTTTTAGGGTTGAGGGCTCAGGGAGAAGGACCATACATGGCCGAGTGTTATGGTTCACGCTGTATTCCTGAAACTCTGAAATAATACCCATGACGCTACAGCGGTAAACCCATCTGAACCCTGAAGCCGAATACCAAAACCATGAATCGGCTTCGGTACGCATTGGTGAAAGCTCCACTCGGCTGGGCGTTCACAACCCTAAACCCTAAATCGGCTCAGAGGTCAAATTCAAGAGAGGCCATTGCTCGCAACAAGAAGCCCTAATTTAGACTCATGATGGGTAGTTAAAAGGGTTCCTTCAAGGGTCCCTTTAAAGGGATCTATATGGATTCTATAAGGGTTTAGGGTTTAGGGTCTACTTGGAGGTTCATGGGTTATGCATAGCCCCCTACCTCAAAAGGAGTTATCATGGGGGTTCCTAATATTTAGGCCCTTGGAAGGGGAGATCCGTGAATCAGTTGTCTAAAGTGCAGTAGATACTTTACGGCCACCTTTTCTTCCTCATCATAAGGCATACCCTGTACTATCCCCTTGCAGCCACTATAGAGCTCTACGAAAAAAACCAAACACTAGTCTGTTCATTAACACCCCAGTCACCCAGACCTGCCAACATCACTCAAATAGTATCTTAGATTTTGGTGGGATCCCCAATATGACTTCAGGAACATTCCTTAATTGGGTTCTACTAGATTGGACCTGGGAATATATCTGAAGGGAATGTGACCACGAATTATTCCGGCCTCTATATCGAAACCTACAGCACCTAGGCCTTGGCTCAATGAGTAGTCGAACTACACCCTAACCCAACCCTAAATCCTAACCCCTGAAACCCGAAACCCTAAAAACCCACAAAGCAACCCCTACAGCTTAAACCCTGAAACCCGAAACCCTAAACACCCACAAACCAACCCTGAAGCCTAAACCCTGTAACCCTAAAAACCCGCAAACCAACCCTAAAGCCGCACAAACTTCATCTTCGAGGTCCGTACACCGAAACCTGCCCCTCTACCCCCCTTTGAACCATCATGAAGACAAGCGTATACATACACCACCTCCTACATATACAAGCAGATGTAAGCCCTAAACCCTAAACCTACAAAATAGAGCATAAAAGACCCCTCGCAGCACAGATGGCGGCTATGCCGGCCCCCGGCCAAAGGAGCGAAAATTCAGGGTTTAGGGTTTAGGGTTTAGTAATATCCCCTTGAGATTTATAGGAACAGAATAACCTAAGGAGACTATAGGCACCTCCCAAGTGCCAGCCAGGCCACCGAGGCGGCTGGTAGACCTTTTGAGTTTGGGGGCTTTGGGGGCTTAGGGTCCCTTTAAAAGGGTCTATACGGGTTTTCTATGGTTCCAATAAGGGATCTACAGGGTTTGGGGTTCTGGGGTTTATGGTTTAGGGGTTTAGGGGATTAGGGGTTTGGCGGGTTTAGGGTTATACGGTTTAGCGTCTTTATTGGGGCTCCTTGAAATTGAAAGGGGTCTGTAAGGGTTACTATAAGGGATCTATCAGGGTGCTATAATAATGACCTTTGGCTTTGGGGATTAGGGTTTATAGCTGATGTTCTTGGGTTTATGGGGACTCCTTTAAAGGGATCTATAAGGGATCCTTTAAAGGGATCTATAGGGTTTAGGGGTTTCGGGGTTAAGGGTTATAGGGTTTAGGGTTTAGGGCTTAAAGGTGTCGGGAGTTTGATTTAAGGTTTAGGGTTTACTGGCTTGGAGAATCAAGGTCTAGGGCTCCCGGTCTTTGCTTTAAGGTTTAAGGTTTAGGGCTTTGGGAATCAGGGTTTAAGGTTTCGTGTCTTGGTTCTACGATTTCGGGTCCAGGGTTTAGTTTAGGGATACCTAGATCCCCAAAAGTACCTAAAATAGTGGCCCAAAACCTATAAAACGCGATTATTCTACATACTTTTGGGGTCCAGGTAACGGTTTAGGGTTTGGGGGATTAAACCCTAAACCCTAAACCCTAGGATCAGGGGTTAGAGGTTGCGGGTCTTGAGCAGAGGCTGCAAACTTTAGACTTTAGAGCGCCGACCTGGGGACTGCACATGTAGGGGCCTTAATGATTAGAACAGGGGTTCCAAGGGTTACGAAAAGGGATTTTTAAATTTAGTAGGGTTCTAGGGGCCTTAATGATTAGAATAGGGGTTCCTTTAAGGGGGTCTATAAGGGTTACTATAAGGGATTTTTAGTAGGGTTCTAGGGGCCTTAATGATTAGAATAGGGGTTCCTTTAAGGGGGTCTATAAGGGTTACTATAAGGGATCTATAGTAGGGTTCTAGGGACCTTAATGACTTTAATGATTAGAACCGTGGTTTTGGGTATATGATACTATAGTTATTACAAGGAATCCCCAAGATGAGCGCGATCCCCCAAAGAGCAAAAGGGGAGCTCTCCAAAGTAGGGTCCCTTTTTTAGGTCACCAAAATCATGTGGTAGCCTTATAATAAACCCTAACCCTGAAATCGGGACTCTAACTTACAGAACTACCCATTTAAGCCTAAACCCTAACCCGAGAACGCAAGCCTCATTTACAGAACTCCCCAAATGCTCATGACCATCCCAGCTGCGTCGTCGTCCGGGAAGCTCATCGTAAACGCCTTCGGCGTAGTGTCGCCTTGGAGGGTCCAGGGGTTTTAGTGTTTAGGGGCTTCAGGGCTTAGGGCTTTAGGGTTTTAGGGTTTAGGGTTTAGGGTTTGGGGGTTTTAGGGTTCTGGGTTCAGTTGGTTCTGGGTTCAGTTAGGTTTAGGGTGGAAGTGTAGGATTTGGGTGGATGGTGATGGTGGGTGTGCAGGGTGGGCAGCAGGAGGCAATATTACAAGGTGCACTGCAATATTGGGCTGTCCGGATAAGACCCATAGAACTCGAAACAGCATCAACAAGGCCTACACCCCTTAAACCTACAAGGCCTAACGGCCCTGCGAACAGCAACCTTGCTCTTAACCGCCTGTGCTGCAAGCCCCAAGAGCCCAGCAATTAAACATCAAGCACCCCAGTCCTGACAGACACACAGAAACCCTAAACCCTAAACCGTAAACCAGAACACCCTACAAAAAATGCTTCATAAAAGAATGGAATCGAGAAAGAGTTCCCAGGCGCCAGGCCCAAAACAGATTAAGCTTGGATACTGCCCCCATACAGTAACAGTCTATAATAGGGCTACTATTTAGGTCCTAATATATCTATATTATGAATATTATCCAACTGTTACTCACTGGGGGCAGTATCCAAGACTAAACTCTCTTGCCCCTCTCAAAGGACATGAATATAGGCGCCTCAATAACTAAAGTAAGGTCTTGGGCCCCGTTATACTATAAATATAATAAGGAACCACCAAAATCGTACAGGTAATTATTCGGGCTCCTATACTAAATCTTTGTGATAGCCCTTTATAGTAATCCTTGTAGACCCCTTTTAACGGAGCCCTTAGGAACCCTATAAGTCTTTAGGCCCCTATATTCTTGGTAAGATAAGGCGAAAAGCTCCGCCCTGAAGCCCGCAAGCCGCTCCAGGGCTCAAAGACACAAAACCCCCAGACTAAAGCTCTGAAATACCCTTGTCCTTTTAGAAATAATAGACAGAGCCCTATATCTATACCCCTTAATAGGAATTATTTAAGAAGGTCTACTAGCCGGTCTGTTTATTCTTTTGGGGGAACCATGAAAAAGGACAAGGCTGCTCTGAAATACTAGACCTAAGAGTAACCCTCAGGGTGCAAGTGCCCAATTATCATATACTCTCAAGAATAGTAACCTACATAACTACTATCCCAAACCCGAGTACTTAAGCTCTGAAAGGGTGGGGGGGGCGAGGCTTTTCAGGGTTTTGGGTTTAGGGGAGCTCGGGGTGGGTAGGGTAGGTAGGGTGAAGAGGGTGGGTAGGATAGCTAAGCTCTGACATACTACCTAGGGATCCAAAAAACCTACTGTTTTGGGGGGGTTAGACCCTCTAATTCATGGGTCATAACCTACTATTTTCTGGGGTTTGTGGATACAGGTAGACCTAGGAGTAATCTCGGAATAAGAAAAGGTCCCCTTTTTGGTTTAAAGGGGCTTATAAGCGAACCTGAACCCTAGAACAGGGAATACGGGCCTACTCTGGGTCCTAGGCTCTGAAATAGAACTCCCTCAACTCGCCCAACCTCCCTACAAACTTTAGCCCCTAAACTCACGAAACCCTAAACTCCCCAGACCCTGCACCCTGCACCCTGAACCTATTAAAGGCGGTCTTACTAACTAGAATAGGATGTTGGGGCATATCATACTATATTTATAAAAAAGAACCCCCAGAATAGTATAGGCAATTCTTAAGGCCCTTATATGTTCAAGCCCCCCATAACGCCCTTTATGGTAATCCTTATAGACCCCTTTAAAAGGAACCCTCTAAAAGGAACGCTTAGGTAATTTTTAAGGCCCCTATCCTAAACCCCCCTAAACCCGATAGATCCCTTATTGACCCTTTAATCAAAGAGATCCCTTATTGATCCTTACAGGAACCCTCAAGGATTCCGTTGAAGGAGCCCTTATACTAAGATCCCTTATCGATCCTTTAAAGGAACTCTTAAGGAGTCCTTTAAAGGAACCCTTATACTAGGATGCCCAGTACGCTAGGAATAAAAAGGGCTCCCTTTTTGGTATTGGGTAACTTTATAAGTTACCTAGGACCACAAAAAGGGTATAAGGGTACTACTGGGCATCCTGGACTATACGGGGCTTCATTTGCAGAATAGGGTTTTGGAACCCCTAAGAAAAGTCCGGGGCGCCATGAGGCCACGAGATGATCTCGTCTGTCCACGTGTACTGAAGCCCCGGGACCGCCTGAAAAAGAGGGGTGTTTTGGGGTGTAGGGTTTAGGGCTTGGTTTTTTTTGAGGACCTTTTTCCATCAAGGTTTAGGGTTTATGGTTTTGGGGTTTAGGGTTTGTGGGTTTGGGGGTTTAGGGTCTAGGGGTTTAGGGTTTAGGGCTTAGGGCTTAGGGGTTTAGGATTCAGGGTTTAAGGTTTGGGGTTTAAGGTTTAGGGTCTAGTTTAGGGTATAGGGTTTGGGTTTAAGGTTTGGGGTTTAAGGTTTAGGGTCTAGGGTTTGGGGTGTAGTGTCAGGGTTTAGGGTTTAGGGTTTAGAGTGTGTAGACAGTGTGCGCGCGGTGCGCTTCTTTAGGAATGGGGGCCCGCCCACTTCTCGCGCGCTTGCGTCAGCATGTAGTCCCGCCCCAAACCACCCCAACTATTCTCAATCAGGGTTTAGGGCTCACCCGCTGAAGGGGGGGGCTTTCTTGCCCACTGCTTCCCTTCGCAGTTCGGCTGCTGCCATCGGGGCTGTCCGCGAATGGGGCGCCCAGCCTCTCCCTCCGAGCCAGAGCTGCAAATGGCACACGTGCGCGAAATGTGGAAGAGTTCCAGATCCAGCTGGACTCATATTGCCTAAGGCATTTCCCTTTGTCCTTGAGTCCCATACTCTGGCATTCACGCATACGACCCTGTATCACAGCAAGCCACAGCTGAGATGGATTGGTGTCGGGTCGTGGGTCCTCGCGGCCTGTGCCGGGCGCTCGACGCCTCGCACTTCGTCAGAGTCCGCCGAGTCACTGCAAAGCCAGAAAACGCCTGGCACCCCAGCCGCATGAGAGCTCCTGGCCCAGGAGGGGTATCCCTGAGCCTCCAAAACCCCTTAATTAAGGAATATACCTTAAGTCATAATAGGATCCCTAATATGATGTTAAGGTATATTCCTTAATTAAGGGGTTTTGGAGGCTCTGGGTTTCCCTGACAGCCAAGAGTGTCAAAATTGATGTTTTGGTCGTTTTGCGAGGCCCAGACCCCCTCCCAGTCAGACCAGGGTCCCCCAATAGCACTTGGGGGGTCGGGGGACCTAGTAAGTAGTTAGTAAGTAGTTAGTAAGTAGACTTATAAGTACCCTAACAGGGACCCTTATTGGGGTTATGGTACTTATAAGTCCCTAAAAAAACCAGTTACTAAGTCCCCCCACCTCCCAAGCATGGTGCCGGGTTTGGGGTCCACCTTTCCCGCAGTTTAGGGTTTAAAGGGAACTCCAGAAAGTTGGAATATGGTTTCAGGGTAGGATACCTCATAATTTACCATAAAGGGGCTACGATAATGATGTTCCAACTTTCTGGCTTCTACTGTAGGGTTTCGGGGTTTAGGATTTAGGGTCTGGGGGGTTTGGAGTTTAGAGTTTAGGGTTTTGTGTTTAGGGCATTAGGCCTTATGGTGGGCTCGGGGCTAACGTAAAGGTCCGAATAACCGCCAATCGACCATACCACACAACTCCGATAAGGCAGGCTGTTCTGTTCATCTCAATCTTAAACCTCACACACCCCAAACCCCAGTGATTACAAACCCGAAGCCCTAAACCCTATAAGCCCTAAACCCCAACCCCAACTGAAACCTCTGCCAACCTTCTTAAGGCCCCTATACGAGAGTACTCTCATGGATCCCTTATAGAACCCTTTAGAGTAAAAGCCAGAAAGTTGGAATATGATTATCCTAAACCCTTCTATGGCAAAATATAAGGCATCCTACCCTGAAACCATATTCCAACTTTCTGGAGTTCCCTTTATAGAACCCCTAAACCCTAAACCCTCAACCCGTTTAAAAATATCAGGTCGAGCTTCTGTGGAGCTGTTCTCGTCCACCCCTATGATCGACGTCAGCGTGCCATAGTCTCCGCCGAACCCTGCACGATGAGGGTTTAGGTGTCTTGCTTAGGGGTTTGGGGTTTAGGGTTTAGGGTTTAGGTGTCTTGCTTAGGGTATAGGGATTCAAGTCTAGAGTTGGGAGGGGGAATCAATTGGACACAGAAGTTCCATGGGTTTTAAATAAAAGGTGAAGTGAAGGTAGATGTAAGGTAATGATAAGGTGATCTGCAAAGGTAGAATATCGGTAGCATAAAGGTGGGATAAAGGTGACGGCGTCAAAGCATAACCCTAAAACCTCTAGACGTTGAAACCCAGGCAACCCAGGCAAGCTCTAGAGAGGCATTAACTGCCAATGGGTTTCAATTAAAATGTAGAATAAAGGTAAATCGAAGGTGATGTGAAAGGTAATGTGGAAAGGTGCATGAACGCTGGATAAAAGGCGGCCATCTCCTACCAGGAGACGGCCACTTTCGCATAATTTGTAGAAGTAGGAATGCGTATATAAAGTTTAATATAAGGTTACTGATGAATATCTGTTTAATTGTTAGTATGTACCTATAGCGTGACATGCATGCATGCATACACACGTACACACATGCATACATCCATGTTTTGCATGCATCCACGCACACACACACACACACACACACACTGCGCCAGGTAGATTGGTCATTCCACGAATCTTTAGTCATAGTCCGAAAGGGAACGGTGCTGTGGCGAGAGCACTACTTCACTACTTTTCGAGCCGCCCAGCCACCGGATCCGCTAAGGAAGGTTCGCCTTCAGTTTGCCTTCTCCGCTCCACCGTGTCCATTTCCAGCATCGCCTTACTTTCACCTTTTCAGACCATCACAGGATCACCTTTTGGAGAGGCCAGATGCACCTTGAAACCACCTTTTGCCGGATCGCGATTGGGGCGACGGGAAAGGTGAATCCAAGGTGATTCTAAGGTGGATCAAAGGTGATCCGAAGGTGGCACGCCTCTCACGCGAAACCGGCAAGCTGGCTCACCAGTCCACTCGGTTTCACGGCTCAAACACCTTAGTTTCACCTTTAAATCACCCTAGTCTCACCTTTGAATTACCTTTATTCCACGTAAAAGGTGGTTCCAAGGTGAATCAAAGGTGGATCAAAGGTGATTCAACCTTGGGAGCCTGGCAGCTCCTCCAGCTAGCTCAAAGCTGCCAAAGCAGCTCCTTAAGGTTGGCACGGTGTCCGCCACTGGCTTTCTGCCTCCCCAATAAGCCTCCAGCAGCTCAGTCGGATCGATTCTATCGGAAACAGAGCCGAGTCGGGTCCACCTGGATTTCACCTTTAAATCACCTTAGTTTCACCTTTGAATCACCTTTATTCCACGTAAAAGGTGATTCCAAGGTGAATCAAAGGTGGATCAAAGGTGATTCAAAGCTGGCACCCAGCCTTGGGAGCCTGGCAGCTCCTCCAGCTAGCTCAAGCTGCCAAAGCAGCTCCTTAAGGTTGGCACGGTGTTCGCCACAGACTAGCTTTCCGCCTCTCCAATAAGCCTCCAGCAGCTCAGTCGGATCGATTCTATCGGAAACAGAGCCGAGTCGGGTTCACCTGGATTTCACCTTTAAATCACCTTAGTTTCACCTTTGAATCACCTTTATTCCACGTAAAAGGTGATTCCAAGGTGAATCAAAGGTGGATCAAAGGTGATTCAAAGCTGGCACCCAGCCTTGGGAGCCTGGCAGCTCCTCCATTTAGCTCAAGCTGCCAAAGCAGCTCCTTAAGGTTGGCACGGTGTTCGCCACAGACTAGCTTTCCGCCTCTCCAATAAGCCTCCAGCAGCTCAGTCGGATCGATTCTATCGGAAACAGAGCCGAGTCGGGTTCACCTGGATTTCACCTTTAAATCACCTTAGTTTCACCTTTGAATCACCTTTATTCCACGTAAAAGGTGATTCCAAGGTGAATCAAAGGTGGATCAAAGGTGATTCAAAGCTGGCACCCAGCCTTGGGAGCCTGCAGCTCCTCCAGCTAGCTCAAGCTGCCAAAGCAGCTCCTTAAGGTTGGCACGGTGTTCGCCACAGACTGGCTTTCCGCCTCTCCAATAAGCCTCCAGCAGCTCAGTCGGATCGATTCTATCGGAAACAGAGCCGAGTCGGGTTCACCTGGATTTCACCTTTAAATCACCTTAGTTTCACCTTTGAATCACCTTTATTCCAAGTAAAAGGTGATTCCAAGGTGAATCAAAGGTGGATCAAAGGTGATTCAAAGCTGGCACCCAGCCTTGGGAGCCTGGCAGCTCCTCCAGCTAGCTCAAAGCTGCCAAAGCAGCTCCTTAAGGTTGGCACCGTGGCTTGTCGGTTTCACCTCCATCACCTGGACTTCACCTTCAAATCACGTTTATTTCACCTTTGAATCACCTTTATTCCACGTAAAAGGTGATCCCAAGGTGAATCAAGGGTGGATCAAAGGTGATTCAAAGCTGGCCAGCCACAGGGCCGGTCACCTTTGAATCACCTTTTTCTGGGCAAAGCTGACTTCAACTTCAAGGTGAGCGAAAGGTGATTTGAAGGTGGAATAAAGGTGACACCGTCCCTGTCTAAATTCCAAAAAAGGTGATATGAAGGTGATTCGGAGGTGAGAAGATCTTTGCGAGAACGACGGGAAGGGCAAAAGCAAGGTGATTCCAAGGTAGTTCCGAGGTGGAAAGCAAAGATGCCCAAAGGTGAAAAAAAGGTAAGCCAAGAACCCGATTTTGCGGCAGCGACCAGGCGAAGGTAAATCAAAGGACGGATGCTTCCGTCGTCCGGAATTCGACACTGCCGCTTGGCAGGGTGTTCCTTCACCGAGCATTACAGCAGCTCCGCACACGACGACGACGACGCACAGTTTGAAAGCTTCTGCATTCCATCTATGCTACCCACACACCCCCCGCCGCACTCCCAAACCTCCCCCAAGCCTTCCCCCCATCCCGCCATGAACCCCCCCACGAACCCCATACCCCATCACCCACCATACCCCCAAACCCTCCGCCCAACCCCCCCGTTTCAGTTATCACGGTGCGACTGATCTGAATCCCCATTCCAGGGCCCAAAAAGCGCAGGTGTGGCTGCCTGTTTGCATGCAAGCACATTGTATGTATGTATGTATGTATCTGTACATATGTACGTATGTACGTGTATGTACATATGTGTGTAACTGTAGGTGTGTGCATCGTCTTTAATTTTCGCATTGTTGAAGATATACGTGCATACCCTGTTATAGGCCCGATAGGCCCTACATACAGTGATTGGACAATTTATGTTGAATGTAACCTTTAAAGTAAGGAACAAAGAAACAGCGTGTAGATACGCAGTCTTTGATTGAGCCGCGGGCACAGATCCATGTGTGCAGCTCCGAGGAACGCAGCACTGTTCACACCACCTTTGATTCACCTTTGAATTACCTTTCTTCGTTGCCTTTGACTCACCTCCATTCCACCTTGGAATCACCTTTGAATTAAATGTTTACTCCCCAGCCGTCTCCAATGCCTCCCCCTCCCAAGTCTAGAGTTTAGGGATTGGGAGGATTCGCAACAGTCTAAGATTCGTTTATGAACTGCTTTTGGCGCGTTTCTTGGAGGAAGTAACGGTAACTTTGAAGGGTAACGGCTTCGGGCTAAGGTTTTCGAGGTTCTGCACTACAGCGCAGACAGTGTGTTTCCCAAGAAGGCTGAATGCCGAAGCCAAGCCCCGAAGCCCTAAAGCCAACACCAAAAGCCCTCGGGGCTAGGGCTTAAAGGGTTCCCAGAGACTCCTTAATTAAGGAATATACCTTAAAATCATATTAGGGATCCTATTACAATTTCAGGTATATTCCTTAATTAAGGGGTTTTGGAGGCTCTGGGTTTAGGATTTAGAACTTGCGGTTTCACACCCTAAGTACCTGAACCCTGCACTTCATGATAGTACCTGAACCACGAAAACAGAGGCGATCAAACCCAAAAACAGCAGGTTCATGTAGGGTCCCAGGATAACCACTCACTCTACAGTGCCTTAGAGACATGCGTTGCAGGTTTTGGGACTTAAACTGGCTATGCATCCGAAAAAAGAAGCCCACTACCTTAGGAATAGAAACTGACTGCACGCTCTCTATGACTTAAGACTTAAGGTATTATTTCTTCAAACTAAAGGACAACTTTATGCGGGAAAGGAACAAGCACTTAACCCTGAGTACTTCTCTCTTGTCTCCTTTCTTTTTCCTTTCTCTAATGGAATCCCCATCTTGCGCAAATGTTCAGGGTTCAGGGTTTTTCTGTAAACAATCCCGTCTAATCTGAACCCTAAACCCTCAAAAATGCGACAAGAATCTGAAGACGACGACAGCCACATCTGCAGCACCCTCGGTGACCTGAATCTCCTGGTACGTTAGGCTGTATGGTGTGCTTCGGGTTCTAGGTTTCTGAGTAGCCCCTTCATACCAGAACCCTTTTTCCTACTATTCGGGTTGAATAAGGGGGACCCAACATACAAATGGCAACAGGGTACTACTCAGGAAGCTAGGGTTCAGGGCTTGGGGCTTAGGGTTTGTTTCTTGAGCACATGTTTCCTCTCCGGTTCAGGCTGTCCCATAACTCGAAGAAGACGATCTGGATCGGGCTCAGGGTTTAGGGTTATAGGGTTTGGGGTTTGCAGGCACATGTTTTCTGATAAAAATCTGAACCCTGAAATTTTGCAAAACTTGGGAACGAAAGAAACTCAACTCCGGTAAACCTGGCTCTAGGTGCCTTAGTTATTAGGTTCAGGTTCCATGAAGGGGCCCTCCCCCCCGGCTCTGTTTGGGGATTCGTAATGTGGGTTGACTTCTATAGGTGTCTTTCTAGCTGGGATTTTGCGGGATATATCACCGTATTGAGACAAGAAGGAGCGCTACTACTACTACTGCTGCTGCTGCTACTACTACTACTACTACTACTACTACCGCTACTACTAACTACTAATTGAAGCTTAAACAGAGTTTCCCTATCCTGATTTCCTGATGTAAACCTGAAAAGGCAGGGTCTCTAGGATCCAGGCAACTAACTATTCAAACCTTACTTCTTCACCTACTGGTCAAACTTAGTAGGGTGACCCCAAACAACACTGCTGGCCAACCTGGCAGAATCAACATAGAACTCCGGTGCATGGTATTTGTTCGGAAAGGTTCTACATCTCGGCTGCTTTTGGATTGGGATGTAGGGCTTAGGCAGGGTCCTGCTGCTCAGCATAGACAAAATCATGGCATTATCAATGATATTCCCGTGGCCCTGCAGGAAATCTAGAAAGTAACCTAAACCAAAACCCAAAGCCCTACCCAATCCCCTAAACCTCATCCTAAAAGCTAAAGCCCAGAACCCCAAAGCCAAAACACCTAGATCCCAGAGGCAAAACCTAATCGGTAACCGCCCACGCTCCAAAAGCCCAATAAACCCCAAACCCCTAGACCCTGAACCCCTAAACCCTACCCTAAAGCTCCTGGACCCTTGGAGTAGGGTCCCAAACCCTGGCCCCATAAGCCGAAACCCTCCCACGGAAAGCCCAAGACCCTGTTTGAAGCCTTAGGGTAAACCCTAAACCCCTAACCCCTTAACGCTGAACCCCAGGCCCCGTCCTGGGTCTGAAATTCTGCGCTCCCCGTGGGCGGCTCGGTAACCGTGAGCACAAAGGAGGTGGTGTCGTTGCCTCTTCTCAGTTTAGTTTAAGGCTCACGCTAAACCCCAAACCCTGAACCCTAATCCCTAAACCCTAAACCCTAAATTTTAGGGTATAGATCTACGGCGATTGGCGCAAGACAGGCGCGGGTAAATATCCCCTCAGTAGTCCATAAGGTGCTATAGTATAACATACACCCAAAACCCTGAACCCTCCTCTAACTAATATAAATTGCCCAAATGTTAGTCTTCGGGGCTTGCTTGGCTTAGAGTGGCTTGGGAGTTCAGGGTGTGACTTTCAGGGGTCCAGCTTATGCTCTCGGCTTGGGGATCTAAAGGCTAGCCTTGTAGTTTATATCTCAGGTACACAGTAAGAGTTGATAATAGGGCTACTATTAAGGTCCTAATATATCTATACTATGAATACTATTCAACTATTACTGAGTGGGAGCCGTACGCAATTTATGTCGCGATTGTAGTACCTCAAAAAAGTTAAACGGTTACAGACTCCACGTCTAAGATGTGAGACAAGATTCAGGGGTTTCAGCGGCTTGGGGACACTCCCTAGACCCCGACCCCTAAACCCTGACACCTACACACCTCAAACCCCTCCAAACCAAATCTCTAAACAAAAAATCTGAACCGTGAAGCCCAAACAGCAAGTCAAGCCTTTCAGTGATCTGTTCGGCGCATTCCGAACCCTAGGGAAGACTTACACCCTCAACGGCCTTTGGCCAATCAGTACTTCCGTCTTAAACGGTCTATGCCTAGGGCAACAAAAAACGAGCCTTGCCACTTGGAGTGGGATTTGTTTTTGCTGTTTTTCTTGGGGGGGGAGGGGGCGGGTATATATTGGATTACAACCATATAAAGGAACCCAAGGGACCATTTCCGGGTTTAGGATTTAGGATTTTGGAGTTAGCAGCGCAGCCTTAAAACTCGCTGCATGCAGAGCCATTTGCTGACGTGGATGACCTTCAACTCGTCATGCATGTTCCCCTACAGCCACACAAGCCCCTAACCCCTAAACCCATAAAGGCTTAACAAAGATGTAAATGCAGAGTCAGCAGTAGCCACAGCTTCATCATCCCAAAGCCCCACACCCGAAAAAAACTTCAAGGGATCTGTGATGGATCTAGAAGATTTCTTGTCAGAAGGCTGGAGGAGATTAGGTTCGAGAAGGCTAGGATTCCGGGTTCCATGAACCCCTACCTCTAAAAACCCTGAACCCTTAATCAAACAACCCTAAACCCTAAACCCTCGGAGCTCTGAACTCCTACTAAAAACACTCACTCCCCAAACCCAAAACCCTCGCAAGAACCTACTGAAAGACACCCAAGCCCTCTAAACGCCTTGATAAATCCCTAAACCCTAAAACCCTAAATCCTAAACCCTGAAACCCTAACCCCTCGCCTTATTGACCTCTTTTGGGGAACCCCTAAAGATCCGTTTCAGGAACCTTGAAAGGAATCCCTTAAGAACCCTAAAGATCCCTCAGAGACCAGTCGCCTGTGCGGAAGCAGTCCCCCGAGTCCAAACACCAGGGATACATGGGCCCGACGGAATAATACCTTGCAGCTTTTCGGGCTGAGGGTTTATGGTTCTGCTCTAGACCTAAGAGGAACCCAGGAATAAAAAGGGTGCCCCTTTTTTGCTTTGAAGGGGCTTGTAAGGGAACCTGAACCCTCAAAAAAGGGAATAAGGGCCTACTCTGGGTCCTAGTGCTTTTTTTTGTTTGAGGGCTCTTTTCCGTCTGCACACGGGGAACCTACGGAAGCCTACTTGAGGCGAGCTAAATCGGCTCAGCGTTTTAGGGTTTAGGGTTTAGGGATGTGGTGTCGGTGTCGCTGCCGGGGTCGGGACTTAGGACTTTTCGAACTAGAAGGGTATGTTCCAAGCTGAACTACGCAGCACCATACTGTGGGACTACGGATTTTGAGACGTGGCATTTTCGGGATGTGCAACATTGTAGGACGACGCATAAAGCGAAGTTCAGGACACAAGATGTACACTTTCAGAAGATGATGACATCGAACTGAGACGTATTCCGGTCGGACTAATCAGCGCCAATATCGCGTCTAGTTCCGACTACACCAACCGTTAAAGTATGCACCAAAACCCTCTTCGAATTGTCAAGGCTCTGCAATACAAACCCTGAACCCAATGCCCCGTGCCCTAAACCCTAAGGCCCTAAACCCTATATTTTAGAAGCTGCCCCCACCCTGTAATAGTGGTATAATAGGAATATAATAGGGCCCCATGATAATCCTTGTAGTCACTATTACAGGGTGAGGGCAGCTTCTACTTGAAGGCTCATGGGACTTAGTAAGTAAGGTTATAAGTAGGTTATAATTAGGATAACCCCACTTAGGGGACTTATAACCCCAGTTATAACCTACTTACTAAGTCCATGACCCTCTAAGTAACCTTTATTGTTAAACAAGTTCACATCAAGACAAGGCTTTGCCCACGGCTTTCAACTGCAGGCCAAGGCTTGCCAAGAGGGTTTAGACTTAGGGTTTAGGGGTTTAGGGTTTAGGGTTTGGTTCAGGGAAGTAAAGATGACGTGTGTAGGGTTTAGGGTTTAGGGTTTAGGGTTGAGGGTTTAGGGTTTGGGGTCTAAGGTCCAGGGTTCTGAATCAGGGCTTAAACTGCTTAGGGCATAGAAGTTTAGAGTAGCCAGAGTGCCCAGTACACCTCATGCAACGTTACCGCAGCATCAAAACTCTGCAATTGAAGGTCTACTCTTTAATGAACAACCCCTGACAACCATGTCGGACCCTATGAAAAAACATGAAACCCTACAAAACTTTGAAAGTCCCGTAATCAAGGAGTATCGGCATCAACAAGTGGTGAAGTGTCGCAAGAAGCCGCACCCCACAACCCTAAACCCCCAAAACAAACTCTAGGGACAGTCCTATCTAGAATATACTATGCTTACTATACTTACAATCCGGAGCCCTAGCTGAGGCACAGTATTCTTAATCGATCCGGGTTATTATTAGTTGATCAAGGTTCTACATTAAACTTAGCGTCTCCACAGAGCACTATAAGAACCTCTGTTAGCGTGTAGCACACTACAGCACCCTGAATGCTGACAACTGTAAACCTTTTCAGACTCTGAAGATTGCTTTCAAGCCTACAACCTTACTAGGTTCCTGAGTAGCCGCTTCAAAATGAGGGTATCCTCTCTCTTGGTCCTACAGTAGGACGGCAAAAGGGCACTACTCAGGAACCTAGAATAAATAACAAAACTACAAAGCCTGAACATTCTGAACGCCTAGACCCTAAACCCTGAAACCCTATAAACCCTAAACCCCTAAACCCTAAACCCTATAAACCCTTAACCCCTAAACCCTAAACCCCTAAACCCTAAGCCCTATACCGAGCCAAGCCGCTGCAACGGCTCGCGCAGGCTCCCAGGTAAGAAGAAGTCCTGCATGCGAGGGTTTAGGTTTGTTTTTAAGGGTTTAGGGTTTAGGATTTAAACACCCTGTGAATCCTAAACCTTTAACCCCTCAACCCCTAAACCTCTGAAGCCTAATGTGGGCGCCTTTTTTTTTCCGATGGATGCCTGTGACCGTAGTCGCGCTCGTGAATTCGAGCTTGCAAAGTCCTTGATGAAAAACTAACCCTTAGCCAAAAGCGGCTCGCAACTGAATCAGGTGAGTATGGTTCCCGAAGGTAAAACCATCCTCTCGTCTGTGCACCGAGATTGCGCCGTGCTGTACAATGGCGCCGATCTCGTAAAAGTGCCCCTGATCAGCCACGTCAAAAGCGGCTTTGAGGACATCGTCGCCGCTATGGCAACGGTCTCGTAGCGTCGCGAAATGTTCGACCATCCCAGAGTCGCGCAAACCCTGACAAGCCTTAAAGAACCGGAGGTCTAGAGGTTGTGCGGCATGCTGCAGGGCCTCCTGGAGCCAGTCAGTGGCAGGGGCGGCAGCAGCGGTAAGCGGAGCAGGGGGTGGCCGCAGTGTAGCCCAAAATGGGCGCGGTCCGATGAGTGTGGTCACCGGAAGTGATGCCTGGGCGGCATCGTGGCCGGGAGCCTCCTCGGTAATGTCGCTGGCAGCGACCACATTGGTACAAGCAGGGCTGACTTTGAGGTGGAGCCGGAGCCTAGAATTGGTCCAAAATTCTTTGGAGCAAACCTGGCATGCCGTACCGAATGCGACGGAGTGTGCAGCTCCGATGCCATGAGTCCTCTTCCTGTGGGCTCCAAGGGCAGCAGCTGAGTCAAAAGAGCGCCCGCATTGATCGCAGGGGTGCTGGCCACCTTCATCACCCAGGTTGGGCCATATCTCGGCCTCACTGAAGACCCTCAAGCCGAGTTGGTCAGCTCGCAGGAAGAACTGTCCTCTGCGTTCGGCGCCCTCTCGTAGCTCCTCCCGTGTGTGGATGGCAGCTTGACGGAAACGCCGGAGAAAGCCGGCGGTCTGGGCGGCGTCCTTAGACCAGAGGCCAAACCATTTTAAGCTCGGTGGCCCAGGGAGGACCGGCACAACTTCGTTGGGGAGAGTCTGTGCGGTCAGGCAGAGGTCTGACTGGATAGCCCTCAGCCAGGTCTGCTCGTTAACCAGGGTAGCTCGCAGGAAGGCTGAGCCTTCACGGCAGACCTGTCCGAAAGCCCTGAGCCTACGGATCGCGAGCTCCTCTCGGGGATCCGAGGCACTGAGGAGTGCACACACCGCTCCATCGTTGAGCCGCTTGCACGGAAATCCGAAGATCGGGCGAATTGAGCCACGAAGGAAACCCATGTACAGGCGCCGGAAAACCTGGTATTCGGACGCAACTTGCAACGGCCATGTCTCAGTACCATGCAAGAAGGACGCCAAAACGGATCCAACTAGTAGCCGTGTGCGCTCAGCAATAGAGAGTCCCGGGTTGCGCAAAAGGCGGGCTCGCATGGGACGGAAGAGCGCACGTGCAAGGCCGGCACGTCGTTGCAAGTCAGTGCTCGCCGAGCCTGAGACGACTCGCTGCGTGCCCAGGTGCACGTAGGACGAGACACACCGGAGGCGGTGTGCTGGGCCTGATGGCCCTGGAAGGACAAGAGTAGCCCCGCCCTCGATGAAAACAGCGTGCTTTGCGGCTCGGCTGCCCCGTCCCCTATGCACAAGTAGAGCCTCGGTCTTGCCCGGCTCGAAGTTTGTGCGCACTCCAATGAGCAGCAAACATTGTTGAGCCAGCGAAGCTGCCCTGGCAGTCGCCGCACCGAGCTCAGCTGGCCGCGAGGATTCCACAAGGAGAGCGAGGTCATCCAGCCACGTAGTGGGCTCGGCCGTGACGGGGTTGTGGCCGATGTGGATGGCCGCAGCCAGCCTCTCGGAGCGCATGAGCTCCTCAATTGTTTTCAGCGCTGCAAGGGCAATCGCTTGGAAGAGTATGTCGGCAAGGGGGGCCCCAGGCACTGTTCCAACTTGGGTGGATTGCACCACTGGCGAGGTGGGGAAAGTAGTAAACCACGTCTCGGTAAGGAATTGCTGGAGCACATGCTGCGAAGGCTGGGAGACGCCGAGGGCCGAAAGCACCCCTTGAGGAGGAAGGTGGTGGAGGAAGGTCTGAACCACGAGTGGCTCGACCGGGAGGGCCCAAAGTGCCTGCTCCAGAGCCCCTCTGTCAGCAGAGAACAACGGGAGTCTCTCAACACTGTAAAAGGCTGAAATGCCGTCCAGAAAAACGACAGAAGCGGAAACTCCCCGCCTCGCTGCAAGCTGGATGTGCGACTGGATGGTCAAAGCCGGGAGGGTCAACGGGATACCCTTTCTTGCCCCACCGGCCGAAGCCAATGTGTGCGCTTCGAAACCCCGCGCGATTTCTGGTCTAAAAGCCTTTTGCAATGCCTTCGCTGCGGGTTCCTGCAGGGCTATGCTGCGGTACCCAGAGGTGCTTTTGGGATTTTTACCCGGTTTGGCAAGGGGCCTCGCAACACTCCCCTTCCATAGGCACGGGACAGTACCACGGAGTGAAGCTTTGAGAAGCAGTGGGAGGTGGGCAAGGGCGGCCCCCAACGGGTCGGAGCTATAGAAGGCAGGTGAAATGCGGGAGATGCCGCTGGCACGACGAGGCTTCAGGCCTGCAAAAGCTCGGGTGATGTGGGCCAGAGAAGGTAGTGCCTCGACGGGTACCGGCTGGTCCGGCACGACAGCGAGGGAGTCATTAGCGACCTCGGCGAGCTGCTTGGGAGTTGCTTGTTCAGCCTTGCCGAAATGTTCACTGAACTTCGCTGCCACGGCCTCCTCATCCCAAATCTCTCCCTCAGGGCCCTGTAGCACTACAGCAACCCTAGGTGGTTTGTATGCACGGCCAGACTTCAGGACAGAGCGGAGGAGTCGGGCAAGCTCTGCCGGGCCGGCACTGCGCGCGGCTCGCATGTTTTCTCTGGCGAAGTTGGCGGCATCCGTGCGAAACGAAGCTCGGATCATCTTCGAGGTACCACGCATGCGCCGAAGGTGCAGGAAAGCCCAGCAGTCATTCCGAAGTCGCAGGGCTGCAAAGCGCACGCCGAAGTCATCTGCGGTGCTGCAACGCGGTGCTGCCGCCCATGCACGAAAAGTGGCATGTAGAACTTCCCTGAGGTGAAGGGTCGCCCGCCGCCGATGAATGCGGCGCAGATGCCGGCGGTGTGCCAAGAGCAACCATGTGTCCTGGGTCAGGTAGGGACAACGGGGCCGTGATCGGGTAGCCCCGAAGTGCTGCTTGATAGCACGCTGAAAATAGCTATTCAAGCAGGCAAGGTGGTCGTTGGCCTCCATTGCCCAAGGAATAGGGGGCACATGCTGCATAATGTTGTGGATGGCAGACCTGCCCTCCGCGGTGAGCATTAGTTCTGTGTCCGGTGCCTTTGCTCGGGGAGGCGGAGGAAGTGCAAAAACCTCAACATCGACAACGAGTGGCCAGTGGTCAATTTCTGCGTGCAGATCAAGGAAATCCACAGTACGAAGTCTGCTGAGACCACTTTGCCATGACTCCGGGACCCCAAAGTAGTCGAGGCATGTCGGGAAACCGTGAGGTGACCGCCAGGTCCTCAAAGGTGACCCGTCTGCTGCGGTTATGCCAGTATGCCACAGCCCAGAGGTAGTGCAAAGGTCATCAAAGCACTGTGCGTTGAGATTCTCCGGCTGGAGCACCATGCCTCGGGCAGTGTAACGGGCGTTGCAGTCGCCCATGAAAATGGGCACTGTGCCCGGGGGAAGGGCATCAAGACGGCTGCGACAGAGTTGCCAAAAGTCATGGACAGCGTTATCAGCCGTAACCGTTGTGCGTGCATGAGCTACCAGGAATGCCAGGCGGAGGCTGCCCCACTGTGCATAGACAACCAGGAGCCTGGGGTGGGCATAAGCAACGCAGACTTTGGATGGGTCCCACCCCCCCGAGCCTTCGATGCGCAGCCAGAGCTGGCATCCCTCTTGGCCTTCGGATGCATCGGAGGCGAGCTTGAGGATGCCATCCGCGAGTTCAACGGCCTGCCCTTGGATGCGGGTCTCCTGGAGCGCTAAAACGTCGATCCCGTGCTGTTTCATGGCCGCACAGAGGCATTTGCGCTGTACCGGTTTGAGCGCGGAGAGGGTGTTATACGTGCACAGCCTCCATTTGCACGCGATCGGCCCCGCTTGTCGGGGAGGCGCGCTCCAGTCGGGCGCCCAAGCGGAAGGAGTGGCGATGGGCAAAACGCGTGAGCTGGGTGGGCTCGGCACTATGTGCCCGGCTGCGTCGATGTCAGGAAACCCCTCAAGACGGGGGGCGTACATCCATAGCCAACTGAAGTCGCGCTGCAGGATACTCTGTGCGACATCAGCAAGGCCTGTTGCAGAACAGGCAGGTACCGCGCAGAGGGAGGCTTTGGCGAGGCTGTCAGCAAGCTCATTGGCAGCTTGTCCTTCATGTGCATGCACGTGAAGAGACAGGGGCTCCCGGTGTGCAAGACGCAGAAAGGCGGTGACAGCAAGCGTGGCTTCCGCTAGTGGTTGCTCGTGGGCAGAAATGCCGCCGCGAACAGCAACGCTGGCAGCTCCAGTGGAATCAAAACAGATTCCAGCCTGGCAGGGCAAGGTTGCCGCGAGGCAACGCGCAACAAATTGAGCTGCAAGTTCTCGCTCAAAGGCACTACGGATTGGGAGACAGTTGGGATAGGTTCCCGTCAAGTGCCCTGCCCATCCCCAAACCGAGTTCTGCCGTGCGAAAGCAACAACGGCCCATCCTCCGCGGCCCTCCTTGAAGGAGCCGTCAACATAGAGCTGAACGGCATCAGTTTGCTCTGAGATGACCTGGCGGGGGAGAAGGCGCAGCATATTCTGTGCCTGAGGGTGCAGGTGAACCCCTTGAAGGTCGAAGCCCAGACCGCTATAGTGGAATCCCCTGAAAAAGTCATCAACGAGGTCGGAGGTAACTGGAAAGATGGCAGGGGCCTCACCAGGCGGTTGCAGATCTGTG